GAGCTCGTATAGTAAGGGACAACGGTTTTTTGCAAATTCAAACTCCGCTTGACAGAACCACATGGGATCCTCTTTTCAGCGACCTTACCACCGCAACCGAAACAACCGACACTGCCGGAATACGCGGAATACGCGTCTCTCACGGTTTCCCCCATACCATTCTCCCTTACTTTATAGACGAGTCCAAGCCCGTTGTGCCTTCGGCACAGGAAGCAAGCAGAGCACTTTGTGCTCTGCTGGAGGCACCTTCAGTGCTTGACTCACTGTGTCTGCATATTATTTAATTGTGAAAAATAAATAATTCTTACATCTTACATTATATAGTTTTGTTTTAGTAGGGATGTTGCACAAAGAGTTTGACTGAAGGTTACCTGGGACACTGGCTTGCGATCCCGTGGCCTCGTGCCTCGGCCAGCGGGATGCAAGCCAGTGTCCCAGGTAACCTTCAGTCAAACTCTTTGTGTCATGCTATTGACTCATACACTTCCTCCCAATTATCTTGTCCCATGTCCCATTGTCCCATGTCTTGTTGTCCCGTGTCCTGTTGTCCCATTGTCCCATGTCCCGTGTCTCGTTGTCCCGTGTCTCGTTGTCCCGTGTCCCATTGTCCTGTGTCCCATGTCCCGTTGTCCTGTTCTCCTCCTCCCGTGTCCCATTGTCCTGTGTCCCATGTCCCATGTCCTGTTCTCCCCGTGTCCCATGTCCTGTGTCCTGTTGTCCTGTTCTCCCGTGTCCTATTGTCCCATGTCCCATTGTCCTGTCCTCCTCTTGTCCTCCCCATCCTCTTGTCCTCCTCTTGTCCTCCCATCCTCCCATCTTCCTATTCACCCCATTTCTCCATTCTCCATCTTCCCATTCCTCTGTTTACCCATTGCCAAATTTTCCCATCTTTATATTTTCGCAATTTGCATTTTCACATTTTTGCATTTTGCATTTTGCATTTTTCACATTTTTCTACTTGCTTGGTGTTCTCTTTTCTCTTTTCCCCACAAAAATCCCAAAATCCCTTGTTGTCCTTCAATTTTACTATTTATTATGTATTCACAGTTGCAGTACATATAAAATTCATTGTTGTTGTGCAAAATGGAGGGCCAGTGAGCACCTGCCAATCCCATCTTTCTATTTTCGCATTTTTCACATTTTTCTATTTGCTTGGTGCATCCCATTGTCGCTCAATTTTTACAAATTCCCAATTTTGGACAGCGAGCTGGTACAGTAGGGGACAATGGTTTTCGGAAATTCAAACTCCGGTTGACAGAACCATGTGGGATGCTTTTTTCAGCCACCTTAGCGAAATAACCGAAAATACCGACGCCAGCTGATGCTGGCGAGGCTTACCGACGCCATGTGCGCTACGCGGAAATGCCCAAATCTTCCCACCTCCCCCCCTTGCCTTCTCCCTTACTTTTTAAGATTGCCCCGGCTTTTAAATTCTGAATAAGGTATTAGTATGCCGTAAGAAGCAGCCGCTGTACCTTGAGAGTTTCACGGGCATACACCCAGTCCTCTTCGGCCAAGGACATTCCTAATTGTGCCCTGCCCCGTTCCTCGGCGTCCAGCTTCTCCCTGCGCAAGCGCTCCTTCTCCTCTTCTTGCCGTTTCGCAGCCGCTTCTGCCACTCGCTGCATTTGTGCCTTCCTGCAACTTTTTATAAAAGTACAGTCAGATAGGTGATACGATGGCTGTCGTATGGATGTACGGGGCTCGATAAGAACCAAATTTGAAAGCCGACTTGGGATACGCTCAAGCTTGACTCAAGCTGCTGCTGACAGTTCTTCGATGCGATTTCCTTCCATTTCGGGATAAAATTCTAGTTAATATATAACCTACTCAAAACGCCCACATCAGATATTTACTTATGACAATCCTACGGAGTATCCCAATACGACGGTCTAGAATAGTATAGAATACGAGGAACGTTTCGTCTATGATCTCCTCCTCGTTATCAGTGCTGTTCAGTGTGGCTACTGCACCAACTCCCCAAAAATTCGATCCGCCGTGTTCTTGACCTCATATCATGCAGGATATTGTTTACTACCTGCGGGATGTTTTTCGCCTATCGTGGCGAAGAACGAACAAAGGTCGCACCAGGTTAGTGGTATAAGCACATTCAAGCGACGTTGATCCTACCGCTAACCCTGGTCCATATGAAAGGGAGAGTTGGGGGTTGGTTGGGAGGGGAATCCATTTTTCCGCAACATCCGGGATCTTGATGGGCAAATGCATTCCACTCAAGCTCTGCCCGGGTTGGAGGTGGGGTAATAACTATAAATCTTACCTGTTCAGCTGCTCATTACCAGTGGAATGGTGGACTGGCTAGAGATAACCAAATTTTAGGTTATGACTTGTGCGTCCTGCCTGGAATTTACCGCGAAATAACTGAGGTAAGACGTGGGGTTAAATGGTGGGTAGAATAAGTCCGTCTCACCTTCGCATTTGCCTCGCCAAGTACTATGATGGAATACTCCAACCGTGATTAACGCGAGGACAAAGTCCTACGGTACGTAATCGCATACAGTTAATGCTCCCTTCATTACTCAGGCTGCATTTGATTATCCGTAGACCCTGCCTGCACTCTCGCCGCTATCCCCCAGGCCAAACCATTCTGCCAAACTGATTGAAACAACCCCCGACTTCCGCCCGCAGCACTATTTGCAGGACATAAAAGTAAGTCATCTTCCTACCATGCCTCCCTAATAATGCATTTCTCCTTCCTCCTTGTTGTTGTTGCTGCCTTGACAGCATCCATGTGTGTCAGTGCATGTGGTATGCAAAACGTAGGTTGCACCAATAACAGGGGTTGCTGCTCTGGCCTTGTCTGTGTACGTATGTTCCTTTGCATTCAGGATTCAATCTCATGACTAACCATTTGCACCTTGTAACACCAATAGGCGACTGGTAAAATGTGCGATTATCCTGATCCAGACCAAAACAATTAGCTGGGAGCAGGATGTCATGTCGTGACAGTGAGTCATGTTTGCGCTTTCGCATTGGTGCTGTGGTTGATGGCACAATACGTAGTTCATTGCTGGGTTATCAATATAGTTGCTTCTGGACTGCTTGAATGATGCGACCCCTTGAATACAGGAACATCTCGAAGATTAAATATGATGAGTATTGACTTGAATGCATGGTATACGGGCGAGTGAAGTACTACTACTATACTTCATACACCCTCCTGAACACCAAAAGCCTCATAAGTCGGACATATTGCATGTCGACTGAAAAGATTGCAGTAGAATCTGAATAACTGTTCGATAATCGCCAGAGAGGGACAAGAAACGGATCGACATGCTACAAGACCCCGAACCTGTCTCAACCTGTGACACCCTTCCTCACCCTTCCTCCTGCTGCCCTGTTACAACGGCGAAGATTAAGTATACATAGAACTCTCGTGCTACTAGGCTCGTTATTCTTCTTATTGGAGTTACTTTGCTACCGCGACTTCTTGCTTCTTGGTACTATACAGTGATTCACCTTCGTCACTCAGCCACCAGATTATGGCACTTATACTTATACCTGCTCGCCTCGTACGTTTTACCTCAGCGCTTTTTCTGACTCTCGCTGAGCGCCCTAGTCTTGTACACGTCTTCCAACATCCATCCCACTAATTCGATCGCAGACCAGCTACTATGACCACATCATCTGGGGACGCCAGCAACAGTCCTACGAGGACAGCGAGGGCCCCAAGGGATCCTTCCAAGAACGTACCTGCACCTCCAACGTTCTCTGATGCATTCGAACATCGAGCGTTCCTGAAATTCCGCCTGGCTCAAGCGTATCGTATCTTTGGTGAGTATATTGGTTGTTCGTAACAGGAAGCATCATCTTCATGCAACGGAGCAAAGTATGGCCTTGACGCAGGTGTTGCTGGATACATCACTGTCCGGATAAGATGACACTGATAACATGGTGTGTGCAACATCTAATTGCGCTGTCGAAAGGACCCGATCAGGCCAGATTGCTACTGGGTCAACCCCGGGTGATCATTTGTCATGTCACGATAAAAACCATAATATTCACCATTTGCCCCAGGGTGTTCACGTCAAGCTCATCGAGCCTGAGCTCCTCCTTCTCTTAGGCCACGAAGGTAACATACAGGATAAGGAATCTGGGCCTATTCAGTTCCTCAACAAGGCAGCATACATAATCCATTTGGCGATTCGTGACGCTCGCCCAGATGTCGTCTGTGCTGCACATTCGCACACCACGTATTCGGCACTCTTGGGGTGCCGCTTGATGCCATTACTCAGGACAGTTGTGCTCTTTACGAGGTATTTCGCGTGCATCATTCTTAAGATTTGAGGTCTCTCAGTGAATGAATACTTAGGATCATGTGTTATTCAGCGATTTTCGTGGCGTCATCGATTGTCTTGAGGAAGGTGTGGCTATAGCGGCTGGGTTCCAAGAAGGTTTGCAGATGCACCGATTACATATGTTGGTGCTCGCAATTGAATATTTCAGGCTGCTATCCTCCAGGTATATTTTTAAAGTTTGGTTAAACATTCTTACCTGTTTATCATACCCTTCTGGTAGAGCCATGGCCCAGTTGTTGCCACCGAGTCGATTGAATCTACCGTTTACTTTTTCATCTCTTCGGAGAATTGCTGTCAGGTTTAAATGATAGCAGACCAGGCTGCCGCTGCTCGTGGGCAAAGACCGCGTATTATTGATCCAGAAAGTGCGGCTCTAACACAAAGTCCTTGGAGCTGAGCTAGGGGGGTGGTTGAACGGGAGTCTCTAGTTCAGCTCTTAGAGCACGAAGGAAACAAATTCGAGTATATGCCTGCAAATAAGGAGAAACCGTACTACCAATTGATTCACCGATACGGAGTCCTGAACTGCCCAGTTATATCCCTGCCTATCTTTTGATTCTCTAGAAACATGGTGAATGTAGCCATAGATATTTGTCACTGCTGTAATGTAGAAAACACCCGATAGGTATACCTACTGCACAACAAACACGGCAATGCAACAGCGGTGAGAAACGAGAAACGCGAAAGCATACGCACACGGCAAGGGTACCCAGATGGCAAGAGAATCCCAACATAACGGAAGAGGTATACAATCTATGAAACATCACCCGAGACAGATCATTTGAAACTCTGCTTACGACTGCAATAGAAGGATCAAGAGCAACAACGATATTTCCTATGAGTTGCTTGCGATGCGCATTTGTGATGAATGCGGTTGCTGATGATGGTTCTGGGTGTCGATCAAGCACCTCGTCGAAAGAAGCATTGACAGAGAGGGGAAAACTGTCCACATGAAATATGGCGTTAGTAGCGGATATGTTTCTAGGGTGGTACGGATAGTTATCGTGCGGAGAAGCAAGTAAATTAGTACACACCACGCATGCCCGTCAACAGATCTGTAACATTCCATCGATAACCGGAAGTGATCGGACATGAGCACCGAGTGATCATTCTATATAGGCTCCGTGGTGAAGTAGGGTGCGTTACAAAGGATGATGAAAGATGATCGAGTGGAGTAAATATATGGTTACAGAAGGGTAGACTGTGGTATATGGTAGTACCAGATGCATGCGGGTTCGTGCACAGAATGGAGGGGCTACTGATACATGACGGGCGTTTATAAAGGGGGCAGTGATGATGGAAGAAGCCAAATGAAATCCACGCCGTGGCAGCGTGATACGGAAGAACCCTGGATAAGCGCCTACATGAGTTGGGTCATGGGCAGAAGTCCAACACTACTCACCACCACCAGACCCCCAACGCAAGGATATCCTAAAGGTACGGTCCTCGTCGACTTCAAATGCTGCTGACTGTCTATATCTCTGTCTAGGTCAACGCGAGATGTCAGGGGTGCCTGATGCAGCAAGAGATGCAGATCTCACTCTGAGACGGCAGCCGAAGCCAGCGCAGACAACGGAAGGGCAACTGACACCAGCGTGGATGATGAAAGGACACACGGACTGCGTGGCAGAAGTCGCGTTCTTCAAAGATGGTCGACGGGTCGTCACTGGTTCACATGATACAACTCTGCAAATTTGGGACATGGAGACAAGAGCATTGGTAGGAGGGCCATTCAAGGGACACAAGAACCGGGTGATTTCCGTGGCCGTATCACCAGACGACAGGCGAATTGCGAGTGGTGGAGATGACAAAACCATCATCATCTGGGACGTCGAGAGCAAGCAGAAAGTATTCGAGCCGCTGGTGAAGCATACAAACTGGGTGTGGTCGGTGTGCTTCTCACCCGATGGCAAGAAACTTGCAAGCGGGTCGGAGGATGACACGGTTGTTGTATGGAATGCAGAGACCGGCGCTGTCCTCGCAACACTCAAGGGTCATCGTCGTTTTGCGGTGCTCAGTGTGGCATTCAGCCCAGATGGGCTAAAATTAGCCTCTGGATCAAAAGGTGACATCCGGGTGTGGCGCACCGATAACGCCGAGCAACTTCTCAATTTCGACGCTCACCAATTTTATGTTCAAAGTGTTGTGTGGTCGCCTGACGGCCAGCAACTTGTCTCTGCATCATCTGACAAAACAGTCAAGTTCTGGGATTCGTCCAATGGAGACCAGATCGGTCAACCTTGCACCGGTCACACTAGCTCCATCTTCTCGCTCGCCATCTCGTCTGCCGGCTCCTTCATTGCCACTGCCTCGTTCGACAAGACTGTGCGGCTGTGGAGCACAAAGACACACCAGCACATAGGTCAGCCATTCAAACACACCTCGAGCATTGAGTCTGTCGCGATTTCTCCCAATGGAGAACTGCTCGTCAGTGGAGATTACATAGGAAATGTGCTGCTCTGGTCTATCAAGGAGATACTTGAGCAACACAAGGCGGGAGAAAGGACAAATGTTGATGAAGGAGCACGTCGACAGCAACTCCTTGGTCTCAGTGACACGCAGGTATGCTGTCACCCATTATTTTTAGTCTGTCTCTCCATTCATATGGCTTTCGGCGGCGGCACACAGTCGCGCTGTCATGACACCGACGATGAGCTCTCTGGCAATAACGATGGTGCAAGTCACCGTTCTTCGCAACAAGTACGTGGTAGTGACGACAACCCCTCATTATTTGACGTGAGCTGCCTTCAATTTGTATCCTTATCACGGAACATGAGCTTGCTTCATGTAGATCCCTGTTATAAACACGACGCTACACAATGCATGCATTGCTGAAGACCCGCATACCGCTGAAGACCTCCTGTCCCAGGAGACCGACACAGATGATGACAACCACGACTCATATGCCAACGAGGAGGACGATGCAGACGAATCGATTAAAGATGATGAGGAAGTACAGCAGTTCCTTCCTCGTGGTGACACGCACGTATGCTCTTTCCCATTCTTGTTCCGCTTTCCTATTTATTTACATGACAAACAGCTGCCGATGCACAGTCACGAGAACGAACACGAGCCCACCGGCGATCACGACAGTCCAAGCAATCATCCCTCGGAAACTGACCAAGCCTCTGCTAGTGATGACAATCACTCATTGTTTGACGTGAGCTTCTTCCTTCGATTCCTCTGCTCATAACACAAAATGAACTTTCTTCGTGCAGATCCTTGCTATAAACAAGACCGTCCGCAATTCATGCATCACTGGGGATCTGCACATTACTGAAGACCTGCTGACGCAAGAGATCCATGCAGATGGTAACAACCACCACTCATATGCCAATCGCTCTGTTGTAAGGTCGCGAAACTCCGAGTGGGACAAGGCCCTTCAAGACTCAGTCAAGGTCAGATGCTCTGCATGTCATGACTGCTGTTGGTGCTGACTCTGCTTCTTGACGTAGTCCATTGCTATTCCAGCCCTCAGTTATTGGGCTACATTTCCAAGGCCATCGCACTGTGCGCCAAGGAGCAGCTCTGGGACGCGACAGAAGCATTCGATCTCGCGTTCGTATTTTCGAATCGTGATCCAATCACCGTCGGTCTGTTACTATTGATCAAGGTACTCTTGCCGCTATCTCAGAGTCTGTCTGTCGTACTAATACTTCAATGTCATCTTGTCCAGGCTGTTGTACTTTTCAATGCTGGTCGCCACGATGAGGCGATGCGGCGAGTTCAAGACCTCGCCACCGCTTGTCATCACTTGGATACACTTCCGTGCAGTTTTATCAATGTGAGCTTTACGTCATACCTCACGAGTTTTCTCACTTTCGAACACACTCCTAAGTCATATCTACGTGCAGCTTGCAATAATCGCTTTCGATGACGGGCGGTACAGCGAAGCCGCTGATCGACTGCACAATATCATGCCTAGTATAACCGACGTGTCCTCTCACCGAATGCCCTTTGAACCTACATTGAAGGTATTCACAGTGGTACGTCATTATGAAGCCCACAGAACACTTTTAATGATTTGCGCTGTACAGCTGTTCGGCTGGGACTTGGATTCATTATGGAAAAGTGTCAACCAAAGGCGGTGCGATGCACTCCTTCGCGCCGATCGAGTGATCGAAGCGGTCGAATCTCACCAATACACTATGCGCATGACTGACGAGGATGCGAAGGACAGCTATCTCGCATGGTTCACTGGTGGGTGCTTTGGGCCTTGAATGAACATCAACACTTATTCTGAGTATGTTTAGCTTTCAAGAACAACTGTACTGCGCGCTGTCTCGCAAAGGGAGACGAGGCTGTTGCTGCAAGCAATTACGAGGCGGCTATCGAACTATATTCGGCAGGAATCGGGCTTGACTCATCGTGCGAGTCCCTGTTTGCGCACCGCAGCAAGGCAAACTTAGAACTGGACCTCTATGTCGAGGCCCTTTTCGACGCGGAAAAGGTGCGGATGAAGTCCATCATTTGTCTAGCAATCATTCTGATACCGGTGGTGTATAGGTCATCGAACTCGATCCTTCTTCTTATCTGGGGTACGAACTGAAGCATGCAGCCCTTCACAAGGCTCGACGTTATGATGAAGCGATCGAGGCCTTGAAAACCATGCTCTTGAAGTCAGACGATGTGCCCGACGCGCGAGTGCAAGGTAAGCCCCAATCTCTCATGCGCCAACGTGAAAATCATAAACACTTTCCACAGAGCTGCGTCAGCAGTATGTCAGTCCATCTGATGTTGAAGGCATTATCCGACGCGCCATTGACGTCAACTGGAAAATGCTCCGCTGCGTCTAATCAACACCTCCACTGGGCGTATATGCAATCGAGACGCGCAGATCAACGCCTTCATGGACAGCACCGAGTACAAAGAGATTTTTTCTTCCTCGATGATGCATGCGCCCCTCCAGACGGAACCTATTAGAGCAGTGGTTGCGAAGTACTTCAGTTGGGCTATGCTATCGCACAGGTGGCAAAGCAACGAGCTTCTGCTACACGACATACAGGACAAGGTTGTGTATGACTTGGATGCAGTTGGAACCACGGTGAAGTTGCAGACATTCTGCAAAATTGCTCGTGATGCGGGGCATCGCTGGGCGTGGAGCGATACATGTTGTATTGACCAGAAAAACAATGTCGAGCTACAAGCATCTGTCAACTCCATGTTCGTTTGGTATCGCCACTCAGGACTCACAATCGTTTACCTACCGGATGTTCTGCCTTCGTCGAAGTCAGTCACGCTTGCAAACAGTGTTTGGAACACGCGAGGATGGACTGTTCAGGAGTTCCTGGCTCCTAGCATTGTTCTGTTCTACCGAGCAGATTGGAGTCTATACCTCGACGACCACTTTTCCAACCACAAGGAGTCTGCCAACATCATGCAGGAGTTGAGGGATTCGACGGGTATAGATGCACAGGCGCTCGCTGCCTTCGAACCGGGGATGAGAGATGCCCGAGAGAAACTTCGATGGGCATCGAAACGTGTAACGACTGTGCCGGAAGACATTGCATATTCACTATTTGGTATTTTCGGCATCCACCTCCCTGTCATCTATGGCGAGACGAAGCAGAAGGCACTCGGACGACTCTTGCAGGCCATCATTGCCCAGTCCGGCGACATTACAGCCTTGGACTGGGTCGGAAAAGCATCCGAGTTCAATAGCTGTCTGCCAGCTGACATCACCTCATACAACCTTCCGCCATACATGCCGCCATCTCTATCTGAAGATCAGATACAGACGTCGGTCTCGTCGCTGCGAGATCCTGCCGTTGTGCAGCTGGCTTCGGCACTGTATGACCAGCTTGCCGAGCTGAGTACTCCTCGTTTCGCGGACTGCAGGCTGCGTCTGCCTTGCATTGTATTTTCCGTTACAGAACTCAGATTGAAGACTCCTCGAGACCGGGAGAAAATTTTCACTTATAGTGTCAAGGCGGTCGGGCTTGATGACCTGCTGATCACCACTGAAGACAAGCTGACTCCACCATCGCAAGCAAGGCCTACTCGGACTGCTCGGACTGCTCGGCAGACATACTTGCTCGTCCGTCCGTGGAATCGTTATGATCTCGAGCTGCCCTGACTTGTCAGACGAGTCGCAGGACGTGGACGATGAGGCTGAGCCTGGGTCTCCTGGAGGTAATGAGTTAGCTGATTCGGAGTCTCATATGGAAGAGTTGAGGTTGCTCGTTCGCCTTGGACAACCTTTTGGCGCACTTTTGCTAGCGCAGCAGCATGTCGGGGAGTACAAGAGGATTGCTTCGGATCACAATATCATCGCGCAAGTCAAGGACGTGACTTCTGTTGGTGACATGACGGATGTCAGGATGCTAGAGATATTGTAGCTGTATTCTTGTCGAAGAACGAGGATCTCTGATGCGTTTTCATTCATGCCCTGATAGTACCCTGTGTGGAACAATATCCCTTTGTACTACCTACCACCTCAGTCACTTATCATACCTATATCAGTCACGGTGCGCTCTCATGGATGTTCAATCGAACTGTACGCTTCGAACCAACCATTCATATCTGACGTAATTTATCTGAATTTACTTGCGCTAGATCGCATTCTAACGATAGTCGCTCGTTATTTCTGTGCCATGAAGCTTTTCAACATTCAATCAAGACCAAAAATAACTCATACGTCATGTACATATTCCAGTCAATACCATATTGAATTTTGAGATTTCCCTCTATCCAGGGGTCTCTATTGCCCAACCAGCGCTGAAATTTGTCCAGACATATCGACCGCTTCAGCAATGAACTACATAATGTATCATCAACCACAGCACCAATGCGAAAGCGGAAACATGACTCACTGTCCCGATGTCGTCGGAATAATTATAATTGCAGAACCGATCACCAGTGAAAGGCTGAGAGTATTACAAAGTGCAAGGGGTCACGGTGAGTAATGAATCCAGGATCCAAAACAAACTGCTGCTACTCACATTCATCATAATGTTTTAGTGCTGACTGTAACAGTGCGGTCTCTTTCTTCAAAGACGCCTGTTTGTATGGAAGCAGTGACAGACATAGATGCTGTCAAAGCAGCAATAACGACGACGAAGGAGAAACGCATTATTTGTGCGAGGTTATACGAGATTTGCCAATGAGAATCTTTCTGAGGCGGGTAGACATTGAAGATGGCTTGCTTTTATATCCTGAAAATCGTGTTGTGGCCCGCAGAACTCGGACGTTCAGGTAATGGGTTTGCAGAATGGTTGCGCCGGCGGAACTTCACAGTGAGAATGTAGGCATAATCTAATAGAACGTGAGGCATGGCGAATAAATATTTGAAATGTAAACACTTGCCGAAGGCAAAGTTGAGATCCCTGGCAGGCTTGTTCGCGGCCCGTCTATGAATTCCTGGCTACGGATAGAGTGATCGCCTATGCGGAGGGCATCTTGGGAGACGGAGTCGTCTATAGCACCATACCGGATGAAAGACTCGAGGCCACATCTGCCTTGTAGGTGACGAAGACGCGCGACTTGGGGCTGTGGACCCTGAGTGAATCCCGATTCCCGTGCTTGGCAAGAAAACGTGTATCTTCATACCGAGTATAACCTGCCTCGATAACCCTCGATACCAGTATAATACCGACCCAATGAAATGTCACATCAGTGATCCGATGAAATCGATTGCATAAAATTCCAGTAGTAGCTCCTGTTAAACATTGAGCATCAGCGGTTTTCCAACGATTTTCACTACTCACAGTGTTGGCGTGCATCCCACAGCTCAATCCGATGTTTGAGAATACGAGGAACACCTGCTTCGTCTGTAATCCACTCATCCTTGTTGTAAGTGGCGTTCGTGGTGTGGCATTCTTGAATACCACCCAATTACGCTACCGTGCAATAAATCATCTTGGCGAATTTTGCCCATCATGACGAAGGTTGGCTTACCTGAGTTCCCATAATCAGCATAAATACTGTCCGCGATAATGAAGCGTGAGCTTTCATTATCACTGCCTTTTGGCGTAACGGTCAAGGGACGACAGTCTTGACCACTTACAGAAGAACAAACAAAGGTCTTGGCACTGGGTAAGTAACTTTCATGTGACGTTGATCCTGCCGCAATCCGTGGTCCATATGAGAGCGAAAGTTGAGGGGTCACGTGTGTGGAGGATTTGGAGGGAAACCTCTCGATCTCCGCCGCCCTATTGGCTGCATGGATAGCGGTGCTATGGTAAGACAGACCCGCTCTATGTTACAGACTTCGCATACTTACCAATTGATATTTCTACTCTGAAGGTCATTGTCGTAAATGATCCACTGCGATCGAACGCAGTGCACATGGTGTACCAACAATCTTCGTAGGGCAGTCAGTAGGTATGCGAGTTAGTGGAGCATTCGAGCTTGCTTTCAACCGCACCAGCGACGGGATTTGCATGGATTTTACTGTTTGACTGCATGTAATTATTGCACAGTCGTGACCAGACCAGAGGACCTATTCACATATCTGTGTGACGACAACAACAAAGTTGCTCGTGAGCGGCTTTGAAGTTAATTCGCCCAACAAATTCCAAAATCACTTACAAGCAACAGACATAAGACGATAAAGAGGAATGTGGAAGTAAAGGTCTATCGAATCCGAACCTACGAGAGCGCTGTCGTAGTAATATAATGCACCTTCAGGGTGCGTAAGTAGCTCCCATCGACTAGAAGACGGTGTGCTTGGTACAGTGAACTCATAATACGGAAAATCACAGTGTCCACGGAGCGTGAACGCTTCACCCGTGTGGAAGTTCCACGCTCGAATGGTGTAGTCTGGTGTAGTCCATACTCCCCTGTCACCAACTTGTCGAACCGTAATGCCCATGCGGCACACGTGTGTCAACGAATACTCATCAAAATGTGATCAGATTCAGCTCCATACAAGGGAGACTTTTTCAAGCTGACAGGGCGACAATAGTTGATGACGTCCGGGAAATGGCTACTCTGGGGCTATTCCACTTATAGTCGAGGGTCTCGACGGTCGGGTTAGAGCGCAGTTTAAAATATCGTTCGATAGCAAATCGCCAAACAGCGCGCACGCCAGCCAGCGAGGAACCCAGCGGGAGAGGAAATGAGGGCAGGAGGCAATATCCGATCCTTCCCTTGGGATCTAGGCCGTGATGAAGAATCAACAACGGAAGCTAAAAGCGCCTCATACAAACCCACATTGTCCGCTTCCTCTCATATAGATTCACTGCAGATGCGGGAATAGGCCTCGCCCCACGGGTCGATGCAGTAGACCATTGCGAAAGTCGAGACAGATATACCAGAACTTGAAGGGTTAATGTAACTGATTGGTATGGTACATGCTGCGGTACTGTAGTGATCGAAGCTGTACCAGCAAAACATATCGGAGATGAAGGCGACTTTTGTGGGGTTACTGAACCTCCAGGACTGTTGATTGTGATATGAGACGCTGTTCTGTCGGCACGTGGCTACCTCAGCAGCATTGACAGATTGATCTTTGGCATGATTGAATTAGTACAAATACCAGAACACTGACACGTTTGTAGACAAACCGCTGTGCCCAGATGTAACTTAGTGGGAGACTGCACTTAACTCTCATCCGAGGGTCCACGGCTTCGTAATTCGATTCAGGAAATATGGAAGACAAGTGCATCAAACCTAAGGGCAAATCAAGGGATGCATACTACAGTTTCCTCAACCGACACCCTGAAGAGCTGAACAGCCTCCTGTACCGACTACGTGTTGTTCATATGCCTCCTGATGATCCACTGGTGGTTGCGTATTAGCGCCAGCGTAAGTAGCATGCTCCAGAGAGTTTGGCAACGCTGCACCCTGAGAATAATATTACATAACGTAACACGCCAGGGCGGAAGTTCAACGAAGCTCAAGTTGATCGGCTGGCTGAACTACAGCCAGCACTGATTCGGATGTGGATTGGATATGGAACACTCTCGCGTCTCGCTGCACCCAGCGGCCTCAGAACCTCCACGTGCTGTTGGGATAATAATGTCTGGTATCGAGACTAACAAGGACCCCAAGTGCGGAATTGTTTTCATGCAGTGAGTAACAATTCCTGGAATTGGGTTTCAAAACTCCTCTACTCCCACTTTCAGTCGTGAGGATGCTGTCTCAGGTTGTAGTTTTCCCATGACGTCTACTTTGTAGGTTTTGCTCCACCCGATGCTCAAGATAATCGCCTGAGAGACAGGTCCGACATCACCGGGTCAAGTTCATGGCCGCAGCCTACCTATACCGTAGCATCCGTCGGATTTTGTGCTTCTAGACTCGGCAGATTATATTGGCTTCCGACCAGTGGTTGTCACTGGGCGATTAGGAGGTAATTCTGCAGCAGGCAGCGATTTCGGGCCCCGCAGACATGATTCCCTGTCAAAACAATACAAAAATAAAAAGGAGACCTTGATTAATAAACATAATCTCGAGGGGAGTGGCTCTGGACAGTTTAATACACGTCCCACGTCCTCTTTACTTGCTTATCTGCTTGTAGACCATGTCGATACTCACCAACATAACTTGGCTGGACATCTGTCTTGCTGGTATCGGAGTGTATGTGGTAAAGCAGGCGTTCACCAAGAAGAATCCTGCACCATATCCACCTGGTCCTTCGGGATTCCCTCTCATTGGGAACGTCCTAGACATACCTGACATCAAGCCCTGGCTCACATTCGCTGAGTGGGGCAAAAAGTATGGTGAGTGCCTCCCGTTTTGCCAAAATGATGCATTTCATAGACTTGTCTGCAGGTGATATCTCACATATCGAGGTTCTGGGCCAGCATATTATTGTCGTGAACTCTGTCAAGATCGCGATGGACATGCTGGACAAGAAGAGCACTATGTACTCTGATCGTCCTGTTTTTCCCATGGCTGGCGAACTTGTTGGCTTGAAGCACATTTTGACGCTCCTTCCTTATGGTGACCATTTTCGCCAGTCACGCAAGTACTTCCATCGCGTCATTGGCAGTCGCGCTGCCCTCGATGTCTACAACCCGATCGAGGAGGTTGAGACACATCGGTTCCTGAAGCGTGTGCTTGCAAAACCCGACCAGCTACAGGCACACGTTCGACAGTATGTGTTATTTCTCCTTGCATTAACGTGACCTTGAATTTGTATAGCACCGCTGGCGCTATCATTCTACGCATCTCTCATGGTTATGAAGTGAAGGAGAACAACGATCCCTTCATCGACCTTGCAGACCGCGCTGTGGACAGATTCTCGCGGTCCACCGCTCCCGGTGCATTCATGGTTGACATCGTGCCATCCTGTAGGGCTACAGCATTCTGATTTACTTCCAATGGCCTTACCATCTTTAGTGGCCAAGGTTCCCGAGTGGTTCCCTGGCGCTGGCTTCAAGCGCATAGCCCGTGAATGGCGCGAGACCGTCGAGGAGCTGGCTGCTGCACCCCACAAATTCGTGAAGGATCAGATGGTAATTAATAGTTGTAGGTTTGCGATCATGAGTTGAAGTTTGAATTTTACAGGCCGCTGGCATCGCCCAGAAGTCTTTTACCTCGAATCTGTTGGAAAGTCGTACTTTGTCTGCGGAAGAGGAACACCTTGTGAAATGGTCTGCTGCATCTCTGTACGGTGGTGGTGCCGACACGGTTAATCCTTTCCTACATACTAATTACATTTTGAGGCTAACTCCTGATTTCTCAGACTGTTTCTACAATCTACTCGCTTTTCCTAGCTATGACTCTTTACCCTGATGTGCAGAAGAAGGCTCAGGCTGAAATAGACGCCGTTGTTGGTCCTGATCGTCTTCCATCCTTCGCCGATCGCGAGTCTCTGCCCTACATCGAGGCCCTTGTGAAAGAAGTCCTACGTTGGAATGCTGTTGTCCCTACCAGTATGTGTATCTCATTATCGCATTCTTTACTTGCCGAGCAGTGTCTCAATGACAGGTGTCCCCCACCGCGTCACTGATGACGACATCCATGACGGATACTATATTCCAAAAGGTTCCTTGATAATCGCTAATATTTGGTTGGTACCCCCACTTTTTCGTGTTTGATATATCAACAGAATTTAATGACAGGTTCATGCTCAATGACCCACGGACTTATGCTAACCCCTCGCAATTCGACCCTGAACGCTTTTTAGCGAAGGATGGAAAGGGGCCTGAGACCGATCCTCGTACGATCTGCTTCGGCTTTGGCAGACGGTAACCATGAAGTTTCTGTTTGAGCGACATGCTAACTTTTTGCTCCGCAGTATCTGCCCAGGTTAGTCAACTCAGAAGGCGGCAAAGAAGAAGACAGTTCTGACGTCGCTTCTTTTGCAGGCCTCCACCTCGCTGATGCGTCCACCTGGATATCCTCCGCGAGGTCACTCGCCGTGTTTGATATTTCCAAGGTCGTTGAGAACGGTTTTGAGATCACCCCTGAGGTTGACCCCTCATCAGGTACAATCAGGTATGTTGCGATTTCATCGGGTCTACCATGCTAGTCTAGACATACACACTCCAGCCATCCCAAACCCTTCAAGTGCTCTATCAAGGCTCGCTCTGCGCAAGCTCTTGAGCTCATTCAGCAGGATGCTAACTACTAAGAAACGAACATCTAGTTTCCCTGTGTATGCTTTTTTTATGTATCATTAAGTCTTGGAAATCACCTACTATGTTTGTTTTTGGCGCAGAGTTCACTGGTTTTCGGGTCAAGGTCGATGTACATGACAACTGAATTGAACTACAAGATACCACTACTGAAAGTGTATGAAGGATCGCTCGCTCAGCACCCAGCAACGGGTATAACTTATATGTATTTGACCTTGACTTACGGACTCACGCAAGCTTTGCTTCCAGTCGTATAGGTAATCCTCAAAAGAGATAAGTAGTAAATTACCTCGCTTGTGCGTGCCAGAGCGTGCACGTGATGACCGGATGGCAAGTAGTTTGTGCCGACGCAGTTGAAATCGTGCGCCTCAGCCTCCGACGGACTGGGAAAACAGAGATATGATCGTTGTGTATACTCAATATTTACTTGTGTTTAGTCTGACTAATTTTTTTTTGTGACGGACGTTGGGCGTCCAACTTTGAGGACCCCTAATGATTAAGCCGACGGGAAAAGAGTCGATATCACTCCGCATCAGACTTTTCCGACACTTCCGGAGTTTAGTAGACGTAGTACTGTGGGTGTCCCCAAGCTGACCGTGCACGTCTAAGGTCGTGTAAGTACGTAATGAGTCATGACAAAGCATTTCGTCGGGCAATAACTTGAAGTATCTCATCTATATAAACAACCAAGTGCTTTACCTGCGGCTGCTGTTTTCTCCCCTTGATTCTCTCATCACCATGGGTTTCTTCTCAAAGTCTTTCGATCCAGTGACTGACCTCCCCGACTTGTCTGGCAAAGTCGTCCTTATTACAGGCGGAAAGTTAGTATGTCACATCCCATCACCCGGGTTATTGTTCACAGTCGTTTTGTAGTGCAGGTATCGGCTACTCAACTGTAAAGCACCTTGCACGTCATGGCGCCAAGGTGTACATGGCCGCACGCAACAAGAGCAAGGCAGAGGCAGCCATTGCGCAACTGAAAGCGGAAGGGCTGGGTCCTGGCAACGGCGAAGTTATTTGGCTGGAACTTGACTTGAAGGATCCTCGGAATGCGAAGAAGACGGCAGAGGAATTCATGAAACTGGAGAAGAGGTTGGATATCCTGAGTCAGTACATGTTCTTGTGCATTCATAATTTCGGCGTGCTGAATGAATCACAGTTGAGAATGCAGCCGTGTAAGCTGCCTACCTCGTGCAGATGTAGTAGCTGATGCTGAGATGATTCTATAGGTTGGTTGAGAATTACGCCATGACGCCGGATGGTAAGTTTTGGTCCCACTATGTAAAGGTCTGCACTTATACATAATTACAGGAGTTCAAGAGCTAGTTATGGTCAAGTGGGTCTTCTGAAAACATGTCCGAAGTACACTCACCTATATTCATCCCAGCGTCATCAGTCACGTCGTCCTGACACGCAGCCTTCAACCGCTGTTGGATCAAACAGCAGCAGAACCTAATTCAGATGTTCGCATAATCGTCGTACGTGCATCCACTCACCATACTCGTTCCACAAGTTCATGATTCCATACCTCCCAGGTCGCTTCAGATGGGCATAGATTCGTATCAGGGCAACCTCGCTTCCGCAACCTTGACGAACTCAATGACGAGCTCAAGAGTTCGTTTTTCCCTTCCTTCGCGCGGTATTGTACGTCGGTTTTCAATTCTCGGTATCTTCAGTCTCACAGAATCCTTTACAAGGCATGTCGAAGCTCCAAAATATGCTCTACGCGTCTGAACTCCAACGACGCCTCACCGCCGCTGGCTCCCCCATCACCGTCATCCCGATTCACCCCGGTGCAGTCAACACCTTCACCGACAAACCGCCCCTCGCCAACTTCAAGTTCATCATCAAGCCCATCGTGTCCCTCTTCTTTGTGCAACAAGACGAGGGCGCATATAACTCGGTGTTTGCAGCTGCTTCGGAAGAAGTGGCCAAGAATCGCGAGAAGTACAAGGGAGTGTATTTGACTCCGGTAGGCAAGATTGCAGAGCCGACGAAGACGGCGAAGGATGAGGAGCTTGCGAAGGAGCTTTGGGATACTGTGGAGAAGTTTTTGCAGGAGAAGGGGTTATGGTGAGGGGTTTGTTTTGTTGTTGAGCTGAGAGATTGATGCTTGACGGAGAGTCCTTGTGAGGTTCTAAGAGTTAATGGGCTCGGACGTTGATCTCAGCACCATGCATAGTATGACGGAACAATTGTCGATATTTATATGTTATTATGATTCTCGCCTTTGGTTTAGTATATCAAGTCTTGCTAGCTTACACTGTGATACACTGTATGTTATTCCTACATGGTTCATTCCCCCTGGTATTATCAGGTGCCCTCAATCGATACAATGTTGAGAGTCGAGTAACATGTACCATGATGCAATGCTTGACGAACTTATAACTACCTACCTACAAATCAGAAAGAACTCAAAGTATTTATGACGAGGACACAAGCGCCGGCTGTAGGGGGGTCACGATTCAAACTGCCGTGTGCGCCGGCGGAAGGTTGTACTTTCGTACTTCTGAACTGCAAGGTCCCGCGCACGGTTCTACCGCAGTACAAGTTACTCTAGAATCGACCCTGTCGAAATTCGAACACAACAAATATACACTGACCCTTTGTGCGGGATACGCGCTGCCTATTTATCTCGAGCTCCTTCAACACAGTAATATTAATGTTGTATATATATCGCGTTCATCACTGTAACATGTGTACGCTTTCCTACCATATTACGAGCAAAGGACACTATTACCTGACAGAGCGACGCAGCACTTGCCCCTCGATAGTGACCTCCTTCACAACCGAAAACAACGGCTCAATAATATCCATGTCAACTTTTCCCAGCGGTGTGGCCGTATGAAAGTCTATCACCCGTATGTCGCAAGACGCTCCTGCCAGCGCCTCCATAATACAAGCAACTTGCCATTCTCCTGGTTCTGCAATGAGCGTCAATTTCTGCAGCATTGGAGCATGAAGGACCGCCAAATGTCTTGACAAGTTCGTGTGTTTGATAAGAATTCGAGTAGAGGGGGAGAGTGATCGATTCAAGGCAAGGATGCGTAATTGACTCGCAATAGCTTGGAGTACGACCATTCGTTAGAATCATGTCCACCGTAATGGTTTTCAGGTGAGAGAAAATAGTCAAACTGGCGTGTATGACGTGAGCAGAACCGATCTGGAGGTGGAGACGGCGTAGATTGTTGCAGGTGGGGGTAGGTCTGAATTCCACGCTAGGTGGCCATCGATGAGTGATGATTCAGGTCAGAGAGGTTTGGTGCATTGAAGCAGCTGAGTTCTGACCAGCGACACCGCAAGGCTCTCAACTGAGGTGTGTACACATCACGACTCCAGTCTTCCATGGATGACGTGAGAGCCACCGATTCCCAGCGCTTGCTCTCAGAAACAAGGATTTCGAGGAGTTGAGAATCTGCACCTGAGGACTCAGTAGCAAAATTGTCGTCGGGTACGGGACGTGTGCGACGCGTACGGGTAGCTCTCCGGATATGATGTGAAGGGTGAGAGGCTGACTGTCAGAGTGGGCGAGCCACGACTGGAGGAGAGATGGAAGAAACGGCTTCAATGGTTCTACTCGCCCTGAAAGGGTGACCTTGATGCGCGACCAGATCACTGTCGTTGAATGTGCAACAACTCGCCAAAAATGGCACACACGAGTGAAGAGTAGGGGAGGTCTGGTAACATTTGCGGAGATAGTGGTATCTCCATACGAGAAAATGCTAGGACAGTCCGACATGTTGACGATGAGCAAGAATATGTGCTGTAGAAGTTCCACCGGTAGCCGATGTATGTGGGGTGAGTTCGCATTGATGGGTGATTGAGTGAAACCGACGTCGAAGGCTTCCATCGTTCAGATGAAAGCAGAGTAGAGACATGGCGCCTATATGTCAAGGCTTTTATGTGATTTTCAACGAACACGTGTAGGTACGTCATCTAACATTGATTCAACAACAAAGTTCAGTAGATTGGCACGTTAAGTTCCTGAGAGACTTGAGATGAATGATTGAAGTCGATCCCACTACCGGCGATCTTTCCTCTTCTGATAATGCACTAGGGTTAGGGTTAGGACGCCAAAGGAGCCAAAAGAAAGGCCCACCCAGCCAGAGTGGCCGTGGTGGGACAGGAAAATATTGAGACGGTGCATGAACCGAAGCTCATACAAACCGTAGACACCCTCTGTATGGACAAGGTCGCCGTGCTATGAAAGGTCTCCACGGCCCACGAACCTGAGACATGAAGAGGCCTGTGCCATCAAGGTAAGTATGAAGAATTATAATCCTAACCAGTCTACTTTTATATTGGCCTGACTGCGCACGGACCAGGAGGGCATTTGGTAAGCAAAGTCAAGTCACCGCAATATGTTTGATTGCGTCAGACCACTTTGACGCACTTGGACTACGAGCTATAGTAAAACCTCGGGCGACAAATCGTTTCGCACCTCAAGGCCTCACGATCCAGAGCAAGAGCGCTCTATTTACCATATGCATTTGCCACACGACAGCTTTCATTGAGCAAGTAGTACAACAAACTGGAGGCGCGCTCTCTGACCCTTGTCAATGCTGTCACAGTAAGTACTGCGAAAGTCTCACCACAAGTTACAGAGCCATATTTAACGTACGTTTGCCTTTTCTGTGATTATCGATGAAATTCTACAGCAGCTCGACAATGGTCCACATCCAAATTCTCGTTCGCTAAGCAAACACACAGAGAACCAGCTCTGCACGATCTGCTAGTTTACAAGGGCTCTGAAACTAAAGAACTTCTCAACTTCCAGCCTCCTCTCCAAAGTTGATATCATCCCACTGCTTGATGCCCCAAAACTTCGCCGCTACCAAAGTCCTTATCCCACCCCCAACGGCCGAGCATCCGGTTCCCTCGAACTACAACATGGGCGTGAACGTACGCGACACTGCATCAAACTTCTTAATGGTTTTCCCGACTGAAACCCTCTCGTACAGCGCTCCGCTTCTTTTACGGACTGTACCTCCCCGGCTTGTGGTCATTGATACTAATGAAATGAACAAGCCGCTTTCGCAGTTCACACTTCCGTAACAGCACTATGCCCGAGTGACTGCAGTGGTCGGGTAAGTTCGCCGAATAAAACTTAACCACGCCGCTCACACATCTTCAGATTACCGCCCGGTCATTGTAAAATCGAACTACCCTGCACAGCTATATATCTGCGCTGCGCTGCGTTTTCGTCGAGTTAGCAGTCACTGCCGTGCTCGAAAGTACTTTATCGGACGCGGTATCCCCGACTGGTGGTGCGTTTCACCTCAGATTTCGTCCACCCTGATCGTGAGGGCTCCCGCCAGCTGTGCAGACTGCATTCACATCATATATCCGAGGTTCCTGCCACTCCTGTACCCGCCTTCGCAGCACATAAGATATTCAGCTGTGCGTCTGCACCGACATCGCTGGAGACATCTCGCGTGTACTTGGCGACCAGTTGCCCAGCATGCACTGGCAGGCCCGTTCATGACTGTACAATATGTTGCCATTCTCGGTTTCTTCCAGTCATAATCCGTTTCAGCTGCTGACTGTTCTGAGGCTAGGCCACCCCATCACACTCGGGAACGACAGCTGCGACTGGAGGGGCGCCGGCCCCAGCGAACTGGATGCTGTGGCGTATAGTTCCCCGCGATGAGAGACCGCAGTATGCTAAATGTATTTTAGCTGTCCCTCGATTTCATCTACCGCGTGCCTGAACCAGGATGCCAGTGTTCATCGTAGTGTCTCCTTACCTCAGCTTAGTTTTTTTATCTGCAAACGAACAAGACATATATTACAATAACAGGTGGTATTATGCCGTTATTCGTCTACTGATGGCGCAAGTTGAAAAAGTAGGTCAAATGACCCGTTACTTGGCGTAAGCCACTCCTGTATGAGCTTCATGACCTGGTCAAGGGAGCGCAGCGTGTTTGGGCCGTACGACCTCGATGATAACAAGCGCCAGTCGATGACGCGAGGTTGAGAATGGTAATATACGAAATTACCGGTGCCGTTCTTCACGAGAATGACAAAGATCCAGGTCAATCCTGTGGTGAGACAGAAGTACACCTTGTCTGTGCTGGAACACGCCGCAAGTGTTAGTGTACTATCGTTATAGTATTATGGTATTACTTACCCGCTGTACGTGATTAAGGTGAGTGCTTGGGCGACTGCCTCAGGGAGGTAATGAGCCAGATTGTCAGCTGCTGCGAGCAGGCTTCACTTCCATTATGAGGATATCTCCAGTCTTCTTGGACGCGAGGGTGTTCGATTGTAAATCTTGACGAGAGTCGCGGAGGAGGTTTGTAATATACATAATTTTTGATAAAAAGAATGATATAATTCCGTTACACGCACCTCTATTCTCTGGTAGACATCCGACGAGGGTATAATCAATATGGCCAGTGATGGATAGTTGGTAACCCGTCTCAGGGTGGTGGATGGTGATTCCTTCGCCTGTATCTATTGCAAGTTTCATATCAGGGACGATGACAGTAGCAAGGAAAGGTTGAGCAGCAGTATGCACTGCAGACCTCAACATCTCATCCATGAGCACCCGTGCACCTCTCTCATTCTTTGCAGATTATAAGTAAGTACTGCCGCCCATTATTAGTGTGCCGGTGACACTGCTTACATCCATACTGATGTTATTAAGGATCTGTGCCAGTCGTCCGGCGAGCGCCTCTAGTTGGTCTGGCGGCCCAGTGGATGCGAGCCTCACGATGGCTCCCTCATAAAAATCTAGCGACCCCTGTGTCACACCCAATCGTTCTAGGTGGTCTCTTGTGACAGACGAAATGGGAAGTTTCTACAGACCCACGTAAACATAGGGAATGTACACGAGAAAACATCATACATACCTTCCCGAAGGGTCCACGAACCCTTGCCAGCTGAGCTTGGAGAAAAGGCATGGTAGTGATGATGCGAAGGACAAGGTGGGGGACTGGAACAGCAACAGTGCGTCCTGGAAGTCGGCCCGTCGGGGCAGATCAAGTCAAGAAGCACAGAGTTGTTTTGCGCTGACATTCCTGAACGAAGCAAAAATCCACGGTCCTAATGCATGACTTTAGAGAAACACTAGTATCAGTAAGTACAGGAGGATACGGGTGATGAGATATAGTAATTAATACTGAGATGGACAGCCGCCTGCGAGACGAGTTGTCCGTAGTATCAGCCACAAAGATTATGTGACAGAGGAAAGACAAGCAGTGAGACGAGGAAGGCAAGAAGCAAGAAGTACAAACTAACATATCGGAGGTAATAATCTCGCAAAATGGTGTTACATCGTATGTTGCAAAGAAGCCCAGTTGTAAAGGAGTGCACCGTGACTATTTCGAAAATGAGAAAGTCGGTGATGTTGGTGCTGCGGCAAAGTTGTTGTTGGTTTGAGATTGTATGGGGGAAGCTGATTTGAACGCGCTTGGGGAAAAGGAAATGTTCTCTGAACAGTGAAACCGGTTGTATCCAATTACATCGAGATTCGGCCCTCTGCATATACTAGAAACATGTCTCCCCTTGATTAGGTGGTCATACTACATGGGTTACTCCAGGTGCAGGTGATCCCACCAACTGCCGCGAGTCGCGGAACTGGAAGGTCGAGCTCGGTTTCCGGCTCGGCCGGTGCTGGGTAAAGATTGACAAGGTAGGGGCGTCTCTTGGGAGTTTGATGTAAATATAGGAATTCAGAACTATTCATCAGTAATAGTTTGCAAGTGAGGTCATCTAGGAATTGACCACCTTGACGCGGAGTCATGTTCATTTGTCTATGGTCTGACAGAATCTTCGCAAACACTCGGAAGTCACCGGGTGATAGTCCGCTTATATCCGATCCTGTTGCGCAAAATCTAGCCAGAGGCGCCGCTAGATCATGTTACTGTGCACTAAGATTCCTTCGGTGAAGGGTCTTGGCGATGGCACTGGCACTGGCATGCACGAATACTTAAAACCCTGGTGTACAGTTCTACAGACAGGTTATCCGTGCATGCGCGTCAGGACCCTGTAAGGGATCTGGAGGTGGGATCATGGCTGGAAGAAGAAACCCATTACTTTAATGTCCGTCTGGAGTTTGGAATAACCGTCAAGCCTCCATTGCCAACGGTCGGACTGCATCAATATTCACTCGGTCGTAGTTCAGCCAAATACTAATGCCCTCCCCCCAGCTCCAAGTGTATATCGTCACTCGTGTAATTCGAAGGATGAGTCTAGTGCTTCATGGAGTCTATGTCTAGGGTCGAGGCAGTTCTATTTCCACGGAGGCCCTAAGTTCCCCCGACTCGTCTGGTGACCAAGACCCCCGGACCATATGTCAGGTCTCAGATTCTACCTTTCCCTTCTGCACGTATGTGCATTCAACCGTGATCAACATGTATATGGTATTCTCGACATTGCCTACAAGGTGCACTTCCATCACTACTTACTAGAGGTTGTATTGAAGTTCATACGTCTACAGTCCACATGTTCTGGATTGTTTATCCGCCGACCCTGTGGTTCTGCTCGTCAGTCCGCCGGGCGCAACCAGTCTGATAGAACTGCCGAGGACTTCCCAAAAACACCATCTTAAAAGCAAACCGTCTTCCTCTTGCCATTTTCAGAGTTATTATCCCCCTTGACGGATACCATATTACCTAGCACAAGCCATGCGTTTCTCATTCCTCCTCGCTGTTGTTACTGCTTTGACAACATCTATGTCTGTCGGTGCTACATGCCTGGCTAAATACTCGCTTTGCGCCAACATCATCACTCCTTGCTGCCCAGGTCTTGATTGTAAGGCGGGTGTGAGTATCGGTCGTTTGCTTTGCATCCAGGATTCAGCCCCATGACTCACCTTTGCGCCTTGTACCAATAGACATTCACCTCAGACAAGTTCTGCCATTAACTCTTCTCGATGAGCTTGACAGACTGCACATGTCGCGACAGTGAGTCATCTTTCTTATTTCGCGTCGAACAGTGGTTGATTGCACGATATACAGTTCGTTGCGGAGTTGATCAAATTTCCCTGCTGCCTCGACCAGACTCTTGGAAACCTCCTGCGTGAATTCTGTGGCATTGATTAAAGGCACATCTAGTCCTTGTCTAGTACTACCATCACCCACCAAATATATCAGGCTTTTGAATGTTACATAGCTGCGTGAACCATTGGGTGAGCTCGGCCATAATCAACCTGGATCTGCGTTTCTTCCGTCCTGACTTAATTAAGACTTTCGCTGACCAAGAACCCGAGGTATCGTGCGCACGAACCACATCGGATGAAATTATTACTGCGTTTGCCTTCAGGAGATGTTTGCAATTTTCAATTTATTTCTCAACGCAGCAAGATACCACGAGTAACATTCGCGATGGACTATCCCCATCTTTAAGACGGTTGCTGGCTCTCAGGAGTATCCATAGCAACACTCGAGACATCGAGCTTCTTGCTAAGCTGGATGTTGCTTTCAAACTCCCAGTAAGCCCGATGGAGGTCAAAGAGTGTTCGCCGGAGTTTGTCCTCGCCATCGACAGGGGCGGAGCCGAACGGCCGCTTTGTCTTGAGAACGTCATATAATGACAGGGATCCCATCGTCATCAGCGTGTGCGGCGAACGTCTCGGAGGCTAGAAGCACATGAGCAGTGGCATCGGAGGATAAGGGGGTGACTTATATCTTTATCCGAGGTTGTCTCCTCAGAGTCACTATGCCTAGCGAAGACTTCTCTCATTGAGGACGTCCCTGATTCACTGAGTCAGTGGGTGAGTGCAAGTCCAGATCTGCTGTAAGGTGGCCCAGTTGGATGTATGAACGAGGAGCCAGGACATCTTGGGGTCCACGCTGGCCCCGTCATATCTGCAGACCCTCCAGGGTGCGAAGTTAAAGCCGCCCCTTGAAAATATGTTCTTCACACACTGGCAAAAGGACCATCGGCGCCGTATAATTTTAGCACTGTTGTCTGTTTTAGATGTAACCAATTGTCGAATCGAGTCGATCATTATTTTGCAAGTTGATGCTAACACCGTGACATGTCAACATTCGAATAAATCATATATGCTAACTAGTAACTACTAGGTCAGTCAATACTTTGCAATAAGTACTTGGACCAAACATCAATTGCTTGAATAATCACCTTAGTACTATCCACCATACGTTCAAGTTAGACCCATCTATCAAATTTTTGGAGAAAGTACAATCCTTTGGATGAAGATATTCTGGTTGGCGCAAGCTATTGAACAGATCATATGTAGGTAGTTAATTCGGGAAATTTGACATGCCGTCCTTGCTGACCCATTGTAATGCCAATTCCACAATCTCCCAGAACGGCGAGCGCAGTGCATCCTCAGGTTGTGCTCGGAGCCGCTATTCGCTGAAGTCATGGGGATCTGATGCGTAGTACACACGTTAACCCTCAGCATCCTTAGTGAGAATTGCGAAAACCCGTGAGCACCGTTCGTTAAATAGAAATGAACTACGTCTTGCCTGAAGGAGATTGTAAGCAAAGCAATATCATATCACAAATTTTCATACTTTGCATGTTCACTCACTATCACCGCTTGGCCGACAGCCTCCGGCATGTGTTTGTGGCAGTATTCTATTCCGAAGTTTACATGGACAAGGAAGATCCGACTAGTTGTCACCATCAATGCATAATTCCAAGAACTTGAACAACACATACTCAGTAACGTTCCTGTCATAGACGTTAAAAGATAGTCATGCAATGCAAACAAGATGGACCTGTGTAGTCAAAGCCGCTGTTCGGGTTAACTTGAACGACACCTTCGACACTTCCAGACGGCCATGCCGTCGTCAACGTAGGATTGTGGATCAGAATGCCGCCGCCGTCATGATCCCACCTATTCGGCAGCCTCATTTTCGGAAGAATCACCACATCTTCAGCATGACGTTTGGCAGAAGTGTTGGCGACTGAAAGAAGAATAGGATCAACGACTGCGTGAATTTGAGATTAAATCCTCTTCCAGAAATCAGTGATACCCCAAATAATCAGCATCCTCCGCACTTACTCGTATGTTGACATGATCACAAATATCACGTAAAGGGAGGTAAACTCACCTTCGATACTTGGTGGATTCGTTTTAAACAAAAGTTCATCAATGGCTTCAGGGTGGAAACGCAACCGCCCCTGGCCAATGCCAAGATTTTTGAGGTCTTGAGAAGAAGGACTGATCTTATGGATGAAAAATCAATGCGCTGCAAGTTCATATAAGCTTAGGGCAATCCATCATCATCTAATACCTCCACTTGTTCTTCTCCCCTTTGAATATCGTAAGATTCTTCATTAGCTATGATAGGGGCTCAATGAGGCACTGCTGAGATTAGGACGCTGAGTCATCATAGCGGTGTGCCAGTGGGCGAGCACGTTGACAGGCTTCGCCAAGCAAGGACGGTAGATGTGTTTTCTTACGAACTAAGTATGCTTGTCATCCATCCTGCAAGTTGCTGTGACGTCTGCCTCGATCCCTATTGTATATCTTCAGAACCCGCTAATTCTCCACATGCAATAGCGTGTGGTCACATCTTCTGTCTCACGTGCGTTCCTACTCCCGGCTAGTTTACGGCCAGCAATCATGTTTCTCCTCTCATATTCGACTCTTCAATCCCAGGTGCCTTCGCTCCTTATCCCCAAGTTCATGTCCCCTCTGCCGCAAAACTTTCGAGCCAGAACGTGTCAAGAAACTCCACCTCGCAAACCCACCCGAACTAGACAATGCTGAACAGGATGCTATCAATACTCATTCCAGTCTCCTCCTTCAGCGCGTAGCTATAATCTCAGGCGAAGACACACCCGAAGCAGATGTCGTCGAAGTAGTCACCGAGGTGCAGGAATGGCTGCAATCTCAGCCCGATGACCCCAACTCCGTGAGTCTACCTGCGCTTGCCGCCAATACTTCATCCAATTCATTTCTAATTTCCAATATGCGGCATTTTTAGCATATTCCTCTTCGAGCTGCTGTATCTTCCCTCCAGCGATACAAAGCTCTTCAAGATAAGCACGAGCGTGAAAAAACAGAACATCGTCGCCTCCGCCACCAACTTCGCAACAGCAAGCGAAACGCAGACCACGATTCTAAAACATCTCGCGCAGTTGAAGAAAGTCTGCTCTTCAGGATTCAGGAAATAGAGAAAGAACATGCTCAGTGAGTTTCCGCTTGTAAGCAAGTGAATATTTTCTCAACAACTTCTTCATGTAGAGAGGTGATCATTTGGTTCAGCGGTATTTATGTTGGACTTACATTGTGTCCTCGTAGCTGTCGCAGTTGCAATCTCAGCTGGAAAGTTTTCGAAATCCCCAAACCCAATATCGCAACACTGGCAATCCCCTCCCCGCACCTCCAGAGCCCTTGCCTCTGGATCGATTTCCCACTTTTGCCAGGCATCCTCTCCTAGGCGGCGCCGTACCATATCCCGCACCACCTCCGCGGGGAGATGCCGCCCACACTAATGGCGATGCACATGCTTCAGGATCCAAGCAAGCAAGCTCATCCCACAATCCCATTTCGCATCCCCCCAAGCCTACCAGACCGTCCGAGGCTCCTCGGCCAGAAGAGCGCTGGACAAACAACACGCGGCGGCCCCATGCATCTTCCGCACACAACCGCGCACCCGAGTCTCAGCCGAAAATAAACGCCACGACCCGCGGGGCACACATCCCTCCCAACGGTGCTCGCGTCATCCCGCGCGCACCTTCTCCCACCTGGGCAACGCGTCCTCTCGTCGAGGATCGGCGATCCGACGACGAAAGAGAGCTGAGGCGCAAAGAGCGGAACAATATCAGTATCAGCACTGATGTAGCGAATGATGTGTCCACGCGCCTAGCCTCTGCTGCAGCATACGTCTCAGGCTATGGCTCGGGGTACGAATCGGGCTATCAGCTGGTCAGCGCTCCGTACGTTTCGTCCGCCAGTAACAACGAAAGATCTTTTCCGCTGCAGGAGACGCAATCACCAGAACAAGTCACGGATTTTCTGCAGGGAGAAAATACGCCTGTGCCTCGAGCGCGGCCTGTTCCGAGACGGGCTGTAACGGATGCAGTCCGAGTAGAGAATATTTCTGGAGGTCTTTTGGATGCGCCTTTGCTTGGTACTCCGGTTGATAATGGTGCGGGACGCCGAGCAACGGTGCCGCAGAGCGTTGGTCAGGTGCTTGGTTTTGACGTTGGAGCATCGCGGTCGAATGGGAATGGTGACGGTAACGCAGTAGCAGGATCGTCCCGTCTGAATGATAGTGCAGCGGGACTTTCACGTCTAAATGACAACGCACCATCCCGTCCAACCGATACCCAAATCAGAATGCCTAGACCTCGCGCCATCATCGCTCCCCTAGATCCATCCGCAGACGCAGAGAGCCCAGGAAGCGCTACCACATGGGGAACCGTACCCACCTCACGAGCAGATAGTATGGATCGCCTTGGCCTCTTAGGGCTGCACAACGGAGGCGTGCGTGGGCAGGGGAGCATCGCTGGCGAGTCTGTAATAGGACGATTAGAATCGGACGAGGATACCACTGATGAAGATGGGGAAGATATCAGCGTGACGCCTGTCATACCCGTGCCTAATGTTGGACCAGATATATCGTCTATGTTGGGCCTTATTCTGGAAGACGGTGCGGATGAGGAGTGGGGGTATCGTGCACAGTCTTCGCATCCCTCGAGTTATACTTCGTATCCACAGAATCGCACCTCGTTTCCTCCAAATCACACCTCGCACCCTCCAAATCACACCTCGCGCCCTCCAAATCACACCTGGCATCCCCAATCCTCGCGCACCCAGCGCACTGACTATCGTCGACATACATCGCAACCGAGGGAGTATGATCAAAATCAAGCAGGGAGGATAACGCGCGTTTCCAGTGGCAGTTCTTCATATACGAATACGAACGCATTATCACTCCATTTTGATGCTTCGCTTTCTGTGCATGGTCATACTGCGCGTCCGTTTACGGGTGCTGGGGGTGGTCCTTTGACAGGTGGGGGACACGGTCCTTTTACAAATGTCGGCGGGCCAGAAATCGTCGCTCCTACCCCAGTCGTAGGCGGTCCCAATATCGTGCATATGTGGGCTAACCGAACATGATTCATCATTCATGAATGGTTAGATTCATCTCGTTATTTGATCTAGAATATGGATTACCCTTCTTTTCTCCGTTTGTTTTCGTCGCTGGGTTTCTACTGTCACTCATTACTACTTACTAGGATCTGACCCTGTCTGTTGCTATCTGCCTATCCGTTCATTGTTGTGTTATCTATCTCCTTTGCTGCTTCGATTTTTGTATTGTATTAAAATGTATCTCATCTGAGTAGGTTTGATGGGATATGCTGCGGATCAAGTGACGCCTGCCAAGTAGCAGTAAAGGTAGCACGAGGCTCCCAGTGCGTGTGGTGTGTGCAGCTAAAGACGCTGACCATACCTGAGCGTCATAGTAGGACTGTATTAGACTCCAACTTACGCACTACGCCCACATACATGGAACCTTATCATGACGATATAGTCAATATTAAATGCTGACAGTGATAGCGCCCCTTCCAACAGCCTATGTTGGGCAGGTAACGCTCTTGTAATACTGCGCTCTAAGCTGCGGATCAACTGAAGCGGCAATGTCGTCTCAACTGATGAAAACACGAGGATATCCGTGCGTGTGATGTGCATGGCCAAAGACGCTGACCATGCCTAACTTCACTTGGCCTAGTTGTTTCCCCACGCACTGACACGCAGACCAAGGTTCAGATAGCATCTAACAGTATCATAATATGCGTATGTACATCGTACGTACGCGTGTCATTATGTTCGTAAGTGTGTTGTGGTTGACTTTATCAGAGGTGGCGGGTGGGAGTTTGAACCATTGACCATCTGACTTGTGTTTTGTGGTGCGGATCAAGTGCTATCAAGTGACATTTGACAAGCAGTGGTGATGTTTGCATAACCGGTGAAGGCACGAGGCTCGCAGCGTGTGTGGTGGAGGCAAAAGACGCTGATCATGCCTAGCTTCGGAGACCATAGACAGACAAATACGCCTGGCCACGCCGCAGCAGTATGTACTCGGAACTCCACGGAAACTCCCGAAGGCATTCACATTAACCCCGACAGTGATAGTGGCCCTTCCAACAGGCCTATCTTGGGAAGGTAACACTGCACTGCCAGACTGATCTCGAAGATAATTAAAATTAAAGGTACTATATCGGGGCAGCGGTGCAGCTATCGGTGCATATTGATAGCCATCTGCATATCATTGATAATAGCCATCTGCACCCAGTCGGTGCCAGTCGGTGCTGAATGAGTGCCGGGCCCCGAGGTCATCGCTGTACGCCCGGCTCGGATGCTCGGAATAGTAATGCTGGGGCTCCTGAAGCGAAATGGGTATCAAGATGATGCGGAGTATCAGTCTGGATCTGCTCCAAGTCGAGGAGGCATAGAGCCACGCCAAGTTAATAAATGCGCAGTGTCATAATTGACGATGGGACCTGGATGACCGCGATGGGTGACGTGCCTATCGATGGTGCAGATCGGACAGATATACTTTCGAAGGATGATGCAAGGGTAGTGTTGACTCAGACAACCTTCTCGAATTCTTGGGAGTGAAGCATTAACTCAGGGGTGGTAGATAGTCCGGGAGTTTGGCTCGTGAGGGGAGATGGTATGAACGTGGGGCTGAATCGCCGTAAGCTGCTGTAATCAACAAATTCTGTTGAAAGTTCAGTAACAGACTGCCGACACAGAATAAGTCGAAGACAAAAAGGAGGCTTGGCCGCCTGGAAAAGCGGACAAAGGACACTCCGCGCAGGACGAGGGGCCGAGACTGATAAATGAAATATCCGAATGAAGGGGGCACCGGAAAAAAAAAACATACCCGCAAGACAAATTGGAATCCATGGTGAAGTTGGTGAAGGGTACAGCCATTTCTGAGGTGACAGCCCAAGGCAACGGTTCGTTTCAGAATACTGCGCTCAAGGGGATCTCCAGAGTAGGAGTATCATGCATCATGATTGATGTCAAGAGGATTGGTGCGCGTCAACAGAGTATCCCTCTCTACTGGATGAAAAAAAGGGCTGCCTTGAGGTAATGGGGATCTAAATCCGATAGTTTGGGCAGGAAACCTGTGGATAGTATAAATACGTGTTCAGTATCGAACGCCTTTTGAAAACATGGCAGACGCCCGTGTCGCTTTGACTTCGTAACACCATGTCGCCATCGAGCACCTCAGCAAATTACCCTCAACCTCGAGCGAAGGACGATAAAATGAATTGATTATCGTATGCGGAATGTTCCAGCCCATCCGTGCAACATCCATGGCTCCTCGTGATGAATAGTATTGGGAGTGATCCAGAAGGAACATAGAGGTAATCCAGAAGAACGGAAGTGTGCCGAAGGTCAGAACCAGCCTTGCAGGATACGTTCAAGAGTTAGGTTGACATGCTGGACATCCTGAAGTTTGAACACGTTGACACGTGCACTGTGGCCGTCTAACTTACCACCACCGTACTGAGGGAACTTGCTTTTGTTCGATGCTAACGTGAGGAACGTATACTAAACGAGACGACAAACAAAATACGATATGTACGTTCTTTGCAGTACGTTCTTGGCGAAAACGTTTAACGAGCGACTTCATTACACAACGCTGGAACCACGAGGACTATTATAACTATCTGCCGGGCCGGTTATATGAGATCTGGCAGTAGCCTGCCGAATGAACGAATTGTTTTGTTCATAGGCACCCCTTCTCCATGCCAGGCAGCCGAAATTGAACTAGGTGCGATAAAGTGGGGTGCTTCATCCATGCGCTGTTCTCCAAGAATTAGTCTCTGCCAATTCGGTGTAAAACTCAATCCCGGGAAGCGGCGCTGATTTCCTTCAGCGTTTCCTGCTCTTCATTAACGGTAAGACGGATGAAGTTCTTATCGCGAGCGTTCGAACTCAGATCGGAAGCTCCATCCAGGTGATTGATCGTGCCAACTTAGTTTGTGGTCATGTTTGTCTAGGACCGCAAGTAAGCAGCGAAGTTTGATCTCACGTCGCTTAGCTGCCTCGTGTCTTCTTATAATCCGGTACTCAACGTTATGGACGTTCGCTCGCCCCCTGCATAACCTTACACCATCTCCGTGCCACGCACGTTAGGTCTGGCCCTTAAGCCTTTGTTGGCTTAAATCCCTTCCTTCCCCCGTATACCCGAGTGGGTCCTTAACAAGTCCCTTCCTCCCTTCCCGCGCGATACCTCCTTCCCCACTTGTAGGCGATCAAGCTACTATAGGCTTCAATCGCCCCCTTTCCCCCGGATCCTCCAGGACGTCGTTCACCGGTCTCTCTATCGTCTTCCAACTATGTTGGTACTCAACAAATCATCCACTTGTGATGTCTGTATGGAAGGCTATACAGCTGGCGGGAACTCGCCACACTCGATCTCTTGTGGGCACGTATTCTGCCAAAAGTAAGTGGTCGCTTGATCGATCGGATTCCTTTTTCACATCACTTGCATATCCGAAGGTGTCTTGATCATCTTTTGCGCCACATATGCCCCCTTTGTCGGACTCGATTTTCCCCTCAGGATGTTCGCAGGCTTCACATCGACATGCAGTCGCCTACGATTACGACTGCTTCCATCGAGGAAGTCCCTGAAAACCCTGAACCTTCTTCTTCGCCACCTCCTGATGACGAAGCACGTACCCTCCAGAACGATATCGCGCGTGTCGTTAAAGAAGGTGCTAAGCTTCCGGAGCTCCGCCGAGTAATCGAAAAATGTCGGACGTACTATAAGTCACAGTCTGCTGACCAGGTATGTTCTTGGTGCCGTCATACTATAATGGTCCCAGTTTCATCCGATTCTGCGTAATTAGCAGAACCCTGTGAAAGTAAGCGCGTTGCTTCTCTGGAACCTCGCCGAGTCTCAACGTCATCTCGCTGAAATGAGAAAGGACAAAGCAGCCGAGGTTGAGAAGACCCGCGTGGTGGAAATTGCTCTGGAGGAAATGAGAAGGGAGAAGGTGGCTGAGGTTGAAAGGACCTGCGAGGTGAAAATTGCTCTTGAGGAAGTGCGGTCGCGTCTTACGGCGGAGCTCGTGGATGGGAAAGTGAAGTATGAGGAGCTGCAACGTATTCGTCAGGATGAGAAAGATACTGCTCTTGCTGTAGAAAAAAGTTTGAGGGAACACTATGATGAATTGAACGCACATTGGAGGAGGTAAGTGCCGTATTCTTGTTCATTTATTTCACGAACTCATAAGCGCCATTTAGCAAAGTCAGTATTTCGTGGTTTCTTGTGAGAGTTGTTTTGATGACAGCCACAGTTCGAAACAACAATGCGTGAGAACAAGGTTCTCCGGGAGGAGCTCATACGCGCTAGAATTGCGTTTAACCCGTTGCCCGACTTCCAGCGGCCAGTCGAGGTCCGATATCTCCATGCAACGGAGCCAAAGCATCCCGAGAAGCTCATCGAGGACGATTCTCTAAGCATGAAAGCACGAGCGAAGGCCAAAGCTAAAGCGAAAGCCATCGAGGAAGAGGAGTTCCACTTGTCTCCTCTCGCCCAGGTAATCGGAAATTGGCCTTCCGCAATCCAGTCGTTCCGCGCTCTGGTGGATGAAGATGAGATTGATGACTTAAAGAAGACATGTAACAAGAGGGAACCAGAACCGATACCCGAAGCAGACGAGGACCAACCGATGGGTGATGCTACATCTCAAGTTATCCCCATTCCTCGGTCCTCGTTATCTCGTCAGTTGACCGACTCCTCCGTCTCTTCATCTGTCTCTACTGTCAATCCGGACAACTGGTCTGGATTGTCGACATCTCGTCCTCGCGACGACATTGTGATGTCGAGTCGTGATGAGTCTCCTTCACGCCATCCCTCGGCTGAGCGCGCCATCACTTTGGCACACAGTGGTACTCATTCACCATCTCGCAGACTCTCACGGGAACAGTCCATGTCGTACCAATCCAGCCGCACATCTTCCCCCTCACGCCGCTACTCCTCGGATCGCCTACATGGTCATCGGATGAAGGACACTAATTCACGAGATTCATTTGATGTAGGTAACAGGGATCACGAGTTGCGCGCAGGAGATACGTACGAACCCAAATTGAAAGATCAGGTCGTGCCGCGCCAGATTATGTCGACCGACGACTTTCGGGACAAGGACCGCGAACGCCTGCGTGCCCAGCTCTATGATATCCTTGACAGCCCTATGGCATCATCTTCCCTCCACATCCCGATGTCGCATGATGAACCACCGATGCCCCCACCATTTCCACCACCACCGTCATCGTCCAATACGATCCCTAAGCCGACGACTTCCGGTTCGCGTGTGCATACGCCGTTGCGGACGAGATCCTCGAGTCAATCTGCGACTCCTGGTCCTGAGGAGGGGTACCCAGCTCCAGCCGTGCCGAAAACGCTGGTCCATGCTAGCAGTGTTGCGATGCAGCAGGAGAGGGAGAGGCGAGAGAGGGAAAGACAACGAGAACTGGAACGTGAACGTATGGAGCGTGAACGTGACAGGGATCGTGACCGCGATCGCGAGCGGGAATCAGAGTGGCAGCACCTCAAGGACGCTACCAATATAACACCCGATACTTACCCCTACCATCGCGAACGACGTATTGGCAGGACCAAGTTGTCCAATCCGGTCACCGCCGGAGCAGCCTGATGCATGTTACGACCTCTCAGCCTTTCTGTGTCAACCAACTGTCGCTTCTGGACTTTTCATTCACCCATCCCTAGCCGTCGATGTGTCCTTTTGCGGACTTCGCACAAGGACAACTATTTATGTGAGCGAGTTCGACGGACTCGCCACCGTGTAGCTATCAATATATTAATAATGGATTGTACCGACTGGATGTGGCTTTTGGATTCCATGCTATACTTCGATCTGTCACTACATCGTGTCTCGAGTTATGCCAAACTTGTATTGTATTATGCGTGCATATGGTTGGTAGAGTTTGTACGTTTGTGTAAGTAGGTACAATGAAGTGTTTGAATGTTTGATTCCCCGCTCACTGCCGATCTTCGACTTCTGTTGTCTTATCTCCATCATCTTGACGCCAAGATATGATACGGACAAGATGACAATCCCTGGTTCTCGGATGCATCAAGATGTTTCGGGTCTGAGTGTCTACAATCCTCCTTCAAAATATCTCGGAAAGGCCAATATATATGAGTGCCGATAAGTACATGTCCAGAGAGTACATATGCATATGGTGCCCGGATATTATGCAATACAAGTAAATAAGCACAGTTTAGACCATCGAGACACTCAAGACTGCGCGCCGCACCGTAGGCCAGCCCCACAGAACTGAGCAACAATTATATACAAAAATACCAGCGCAACCAAGACACACAATGCCAGTATCTTGCTATTCTTCCACCACATCTGGCGCCTGACTGTCCTGGCGCCGCGCCGGAATGCGGTGGCCTGCGTAGCCATGTTGTCGGTCTTATCCACGAGTAGCTCGATGCGCTCCCCACGGCTCAGGATCTGCTCGACGTTTTGGACCATGATGTCCTTGACGTGGTTAAGCTCTGCTTGGGCGCGGGCAACTTCGTCCGTTGGAGGAGCAGTGTTGTACGTGTGCATGAGAGATGCGATAGTGGGAGAGAAGGTGCCTTGAAGTCCGTATGCGGGGGTGGAGCTTAGTACGGCGGACGAGGAGGATGGGAGTTCGGTGAACTTGCAATGTGAATCAGAACAAGGGGGTAAATTGTGCTGTGGCTACATACTTTCCGCTGCAAGTCCGCTAGGAAAGCAAATGGCATCTTCCTAGGAGAATATTAAGCCAAAACTGAGTAAACGTCCTTTAGACGACTCACCTTCCTGCAGAGTCATCTGCCATGACCAGAAAAGTGAAGCCTCCCTCAGAGACGTAATGGAACAGATACTGTTCCCATACATAGGTTAACTTGCTGTTATTCAGTGGGATCTTGGAAAGAATTGTCTGCGTAGCTATGTATTCCACTATGTCAAGAAGCGCAAGATGAGACAGGAAACAATGCACCATGCGAAAAGTCTCGCTGCTCTGGGGCTTGGTGTTCAGCAAGGATAGTGGATCCTCGGGCAACGATGGCATTTATCTAGAGTTATATTCCTGCTTATCTGCGTTATCGAATTCGTAATGATTATTCGGGCTTACCAGTGACATGGTAACAAGCTAGCACAGAAGATTGGACTCTATTGGACTGGACAAAAGTTTGTGACGCTCGAGTGGAGGTAGTGGTTCTGGATTAGGAAATATCACTTGTGAAGAATGTTCCCACGAACTTGGACTACATTTTGTAAAAGGCTTCCACCATACGTGTTCTTCAAAGCTCACCATCAACAGCATGGTGCGTAACGAGCAACCTAGTTTCTATCTTTTTGTACTCACCTGTTGCTTAGTCTGACTCAGAAAGCTCAACCCACGCCGTTAGCCCTAAGGTCGGTACCGTTGCAAGACCGCCAGGCGCACAGGTTCGGTATGTCTCAAGGTCTGATTCGCGGTTTGCACATTGCTAACCCAACCTTGTCAAAGGCGGAGAGCTGCAAATACGCAGGTCAAACCCAATTCAACGCGTGCAGCAGGAGCTGGTGGCTCGTCGGGGACAATGCTGAAGCTCTACACTGACGACTCGCCAGGGTTGCGAGTGTACGTGTCACGTTTCTGTACACGTAGTATTAATCGAACTGATTTTATTTCCATGTTAGGGACCCATATGTCGTCCTCATTCTATCGTTGGCATTCATTGGATCTATCTTCTTTTTGCATATTTCCGCTAAAATTATCCGGTCGTTCACCAAGTGATAGCCTCATAATGGACATTTTTATGCACTCTTGACTTATATCCCCCATGCACACTCAGCGCTTGTGTTCTATTATGTGCCGTATTAAAACGTGCCGAAGCGCGAGGCGCTGTGTGCCCTCTCGTCACCAAATGCCCGGTAGGATGATGATTATTCTCGAATAAGCTTGACCTCGGTATAGAATGATATGTGGACCGTCTTGACCAATCCTATCGCTTTCAAATCTCCGCTGCTTAGTTCTGCGTCCTGAAGAAAGTATGCAGGACGATAGAGACGCCTTGGTTGAGTTGAGTAGGGCCATTTTTCTTCTTTCCAGTTGCACTCCTCAAGTTCATTAACGCGGCCCTTTCATGTTTCCGTTCACTATTCTGGAGTGCGATGTGGGATCTACCAGGATCTCGTTCATAACCCCTGAGAGTGGTCTAATTTCCGGTGCTTCAAGGATTCATGCACGAGTTCCGAAAAGCTCCACGCAACGAGAATGATTGCGCCACCGACGTCCACGTTCCTTAAGGGAAGCCCTTAGCCCCTTCGTACACTTTCTCAAGCGCGTACATACCTTACTTTCTCGTTTCCCATTTCCCATATCCCTTTGCTTCACCTCGCTCTCTACTCTCATCGCGAATACGGGCTGCCACTGAACGTTGTTTTCTGCCTCCTTGTCACATATCTTTCGGCCCACGACGAAGGGTTCTCTGCACCGACGGTTCTTCGTTTATCGTTGCCGTCCTTCGTCATTGACACTCGGGCGCAATCGTAACCGTGTCGCTTAGTGCTCGTGTGATCACAATTTAATTTTCTTACCACTTAAGATCCCAGGCCTAGGCTCCAGTATCTCTTGCCTCTATCACCGATTGCCCTCCACCGTTGATCCTTAGTCTCGCCAAGGTAGACCTTGGACGAGGGGAAACAGTCGTTCTTTCGTTTTGTCCCGACTTGCCTGGTACATTCTTCCCGTTTCACGTGTCGTAGCAAGCCGTGCCGTCTTGTCATTATCTTATCTTTTATCAGCCTTTCAACTCCTTCAGAAACGCTTCTTGTACCAGGACGAGCCCGTTCGGGAACATTCATCCAAGGGGATTTGAATCTACACGTCAATATTGGCTCGATGACGGTATGTCAATCAAATATTTGGGATAGCACAAGTCCAATTGACCGAACTTGTCCTCCAGTTGCCATCAAGAAATGGCACAGCCATTGAAGGCATCATGGATGCGTTCTCGTCCTACGTGTTTAGTAGCATGCCCGCTCACTTGATCTACGTGCCTGAGATGAGGCTTGTGGATCGGAGCGAGGTATTCAACATATACAAGCCTGCAGTCGAGGCCGTCACGGAGGAGGACCTGAAGGGGTTTTCAGGATCCTGGTCGAGAGAAGATTCTTTACAGAAAATGGTCAAGCACAAGGTCAAATTTGCAACGTTCTCTCACCGCTGGCTTAATACCGGAGAGCCCACATTCCAGGACATGTCCGAATCGCGAAAATATATGTTGAAAAATCTCGCCGGATATCACAAATTGACCAAGTTTTGCGACAAAGCAAGAGAGTACGACTGTGAATTGGCTTGGTCGGATACTTGCTGCATCAATAAGGATAGCAGCGCGGAGCTTGATGAAGCTATTCAAGCGATGTTCAGCTGGTACCGTACCGCCACCGTTTGCATCGCATATCTTGCATGCTCTTCCAGCGTGTTGGACTTTGTACAGGAGCCTTGGTTCACCAGAGGATGGACGCTGCAGGAACTTCTTGCACCGAAGAGGATAAAGTTCTACGGACAAAATTGGGAACCCCTCAGCGACAATCCAGATGACAAACACCCTAAATCCACCACACCCGACGTCGAAAAATCGACACCAATCACTTCTGATATTCTCACTGCCATCACTCGCTTAACGGAGATTGGATCGCACGATCTCACCGAATTCTCGCCCGGTATCTCCTACGTTCACCAAAGGTTGAGGTGGGCATCAAAGAGGACGACCACACGCATCGAGGATATAGGCATACTCCCTCATTGGCATATTCGATGTCAGCATGCCGATAACATATGGAGAGGGTCAGCGATCCTGGTTCCGGTTGATGGAGATCATCTTGCAACAATGCAGGAGTTGGGATATCTTCGCATGGGCGGGCGAATCGTCACCATATTCCTCTGCGATACCACGCTCGCCCAAAGGTTATGACGCTTTTGATGTGCACAGCTTCAGAGAACTGCACAAGGCTCTTGACATGGGGAAGGTGGAGGGAAGAGTCGGAGAAGCAACTCCTGGTCTCCGTGGTGATCATGCGTTCGGGATGACAAGACACGGGTTGCAGATGAAGCTTCCGCTTCTTTACGTCGTGTTCGACCGCCCGAATCAAGTGGCCACTATTCACGCCCAGACGACTTCAGACTACCTCAGGCGATCAGAGCCTCGGAATCTCGCTGTGCGAGTTATATGCCGCCAATGGGTACCAAAGGCAGAGGTCTATTGTCTCGGGATAGTGAATTACAGCCTGAACGGACTGGTTCGAGGGAACCGTGAGTACGAGATCCGCGAGGGCCCTTTGTTGTGTTTCTTCTTCACACTCTCTCCCAATGACCGGTCGTGGCTGAGGCTGCAGACAGAAAATGTAGTTATCATTGACCTACAAGGGTGCCCCGGTGCGATGTGGATGTTCGTTTGAGACAGTCTACTTCTCCGGTAGGTAGTTACGTTGCTTAGGATAAAAACCTTTGATATGGTGATCGTACTTTAGTACTCATACTCGTTTCTTTACAATTTGTACTGTTTAATGAAAACGAACATGCTCCCTGTGCGGCTGGAAGTTGTGCCCCAGGACACGCACGCTATGACACTATGTACCGAGGACATGACGGAGTGCATAGGACTAGCACTGGGAGTTGTACGGAACATGAAAAACACTGGGGATGTGGGTGAAGAGACGAGATGCAGATCCGAGAAGCAAAGAACGTCGATCAGATCAACACCGTGTGTCCCAGGCTGTCACAGGGTGTTTTGGGTTGGTAGATTATTATCGATTATCAATCAGTCATACTTGACAGTGGCATTTTCCTCGGACCAGTACTTATTTATGATACCGTTGTATACTTATGTAAAGCTACTACTACTAAGATAGACGTCTTGCGGATTCTACACACATCACGTGATAAAGCGTTACTTGAGTGACAAAACACAGAAAAAGGTTAACAAATCAACGAGGAAACAGGGACACAATCCGTAATGTCAATTCGTAGAAAAAGCCTTTGCGAAGACCGTGAGATTCGTTGACGCCTATCTGAATGGAGTCCAGGCAGCATGGTCAATCAAAAAGTACCGCGGCCATCGTGTTCTTCCAGAATCCATCATGCGAGAGTTTGATCGAGTCTCCACTTAAGACTTTAATCTGTTCTCGAGGTAATTTCATTGGTATATAATTTACATCTAATGTTCTAATGCTGTTACTGTACATGCACCTTAGTATTAGGGTGCCTACTTATCCTACTCGGCATCCACTCGGCATATATTAGCTTTTGATTGTGTCACACCCTTGTCACATCACATGATGTGTGTAGAATCCGCAAGGCGTCTATCTTACTTACTTAGACGGTGTCAACTCCTGTCAGCTCTCGCTTGTCCGAAACAAAGAAGAAAGTTTATTCGACGTGCTCTCGGTGCCCTCGGACGAGTGTAAAGTTGCCAGATACTCACGATGCTACAAAAATTCACGTCGGTTCGACTAGCCGTATCGATGTAACATGCATTAATGTACTGTGGCATTAGTATCGAGTATCTGGCAGCCTTATACCCGTCTGAGGGCACCGAGACTACGTCGAATAAACTGTCTTGGACTATTCTCAGCGCATTCAAATAGCCGTCCGTATTCTCAATTCTGCCCTGTTTTTGATTTTCACGACACCTGACTGATCCTGATGCCACTTACCTCGAATTACACCACCCTCATCTTCGACATCGGAGACGTTTTGTTCTCTTGGTCCCCGCAGACTAAAACCTTCTATATCACCAAAGGCTCTACGCAACATTCTGTCCTCTTCCCCATGGATTGACTATGAGAGGGGGAAGATTTCTCAAGCCGAATGTTACGCTAGGGTCGGCGGTGAATTTTCTATAGACCCAACAGAGGTTGGTCGTGCATTTGCAGATGCTCGTGACTCGCTGCAGTCCAACGAAGACCTCATTTCCGTTATTCGACACCTCAAAGCACGCTCCAACGGAATGCTACGTGTGTTCGCCATGTCAAATATCTCTGCGCCCGACTATGAAGATATTCGTAACAAGCTTGCTGACTGGTCGTTGTTCGACGACATATTCACCTCTGCTGGGGTGGGTGAGCGGAAGCCTACCCTTGGCTTCTACAAGGCGGTGCTTTCGAGCACAGGGGCTGACCCCTCCCGCACCATCTTTGTGGATGACAAAACAGAGAATGTCCTATCTGCGCGTTCGCTAGGAATGCGCGGTATTATTTTCGACGATAACCGTAAAGTCATCCGCGCGCTTTATAACCTACTGGGAGAACCTGTCGAAAGGGGCAGAGAGTACTTGACGCTGAATGCCAAGAAACTCCAGTCTGTCACTGACACCGGCATTCTTTTGCGGGACAACTTCGCTCAGCTTCTGATATTGGAGGCGACTCACGACCGGTAAGAAGATTGCATTTCTTCCTCCCCCCCCCCCCCTTTAATGAACGACACGTCAGGAGTCTTGTCGATTTGCCTGATACGCCTCGAATTTGGAATTTCTTCGAAGGTATGTAACGATTATTGTCGCCATAATTTGGTCAGCTTATTTGTTATCAGGAAAAGCAGTGCTTTGTAGTACTGAAGACCTTCCCTCTGACTTGGAAACCACTTCCCTCGGGTGGACCATATTGAACGGCGCTGAGGACGTCGCACACTCCGTCATGGATGAAATGCTTGACTACATTGATGATGATGGTATCATTCAGGTATGTGCATTCAGCTGTCCTTTTCCAAACTTTGGCCGACCTTCATCACAGTTATACTTTGACCACCGCCGACCTCGGTTCGATCCGGTCGCGTGCATCAATATACTTGCATTGTTCTATTCTTATGGGCGTGGTCACCAGCTCAACCGCACCCTTCATTGGATACGTGAGGTGCTCCTCCACAGAGCTTATCTCGATGGCACACGATATTACGCCACCCCAGAGTGTTTCCTTTATTTCCTTGGCCGACTGCTTCAAATCGGCAATGACGTCAACTTGGTAGCCGATTTAAAGCCGCTGCTGATTGAACGCGTTCAAGAGCGCATAGGGGCCAAGGGAGACGCTCTGGCGCTTTCCATGCGTCTCCGGGTTTGTGCCTACCTTGGACTGCGCAGCGACGTTGATATTCACGCTTTGTTGTCTCTGCAATGCGAAGATGGAAGCTGGGAAATCGGGTGGATCTATCATTATGGTGTCTCCGGTATCAATATCGGAAACCGTGGTCTTACAACGGCCATGGCTATAAAAGCCATCGTGGAGATGCAACGCTGCCCTAGTCCCCCTCCATCCACATCACTAGCGCCTAAAATTCCCTCTCCAGTCAGGCTTACATCACTGCCCAATCTCCTCCTAAGCGCTTTTTACATCACAGGGGCAAGTCTTCAATCACTGGCAGCTCTGTTGCGAAGAATGCTGCCGTACTACCAGTGACCGTATTCGCAAATCATTCATTTTGGATGACGGATGGAATAATGAAAATCGCAGACGAGGCAGCGTTCCGGCGCTAGATTTTCCGCCATGGCTCGAGAGCTCTTACCTTTTTTCCCCCTCACTGTCCAATATCAACACTCTTCAACAGTAGAACACACGGATTCGTCTTACATCACCATTGACATAGAGACGTAGACCGCTGATATGTTCAAAACAAACCATTCAAAACCGAATATATAGTGTGCTTTTCTTCGAAAATATGTATCACCCTCTTACGCACTGAAGTATGTACTACTTATGTTTGTGTATCATCTGATACCAGGGGGTTTTCTTTCTACTTAAATCGGTCACATCGTCATATATAGCAGAACCGTGCATCATTTGTTATTCCTCTAGATATGGCCCAGAAATGGCGGGGAGTTTGCAATCGAGGTTTTTTTCTGGCTGTGCAACGACTGAAGTACTCTACTGTCCACACACAAAAAAATATTACTGTAACTCGGGCTCCTGCAGCTTGGATGATCGAAGACCTGTTGCGGGTGGATTTCAAGTGAAGCAATGAATTAATGACGACCACAATTGACAAAAACACACCGTAGTCTCCCCTAGCCAGACTATGATAGAAGGAAGACAGTCGTTCCTTCTTGATCATGGATGCACCGTGGATAAGTGACTGGGCCGGCATACGGTAGGGACAGACAACGATTTCTCAGGAGTCAGCTAATGCTTCAGTGACGAGTCAATCATACAATCGTAGTCGTCTGATTTCCTGTCGTAAGTCAGCGTACAATATAATACAAATGCCTAGGGATATTGTTCCATGCAGGTACTGTCAAGGTATGAATGAAAATGCGTCAGATATCTCCGTTCTTCGAAATGCAGGCAGCTACAATATCTCTAGCGTCCTGACGTCCATCATGTCACGAACAGAAGCCATGTCCTTGACTTGCGCGATGATATTGTTATCCGAAGCGACCCTCTTGTACTCCCCGACACGCTGCTGAGCTAGCAAAAGCGCGCTAAAAGGCCGTCCAAGGCGAACGATCAATCTCAGCGCTCGCGAGTGATCGACCAGCTCATTGTCTCCAGGATACCCGCTGTGCGATTCGTCTGATGGAGACCCAGGCTCCGACCAATCATCCACATCATCCATCATCTCATCCGCAAAATCAGGCAGCTCGAGGTCATGACGATTCCACGGACGGATGAGCAAGAATGACTGCCGAGTGGGCCGTTTCGGCGACATCTGAACTAGCTTGTCTTCCGTAGTGATTGATAGGTCTTGAAGACCTTTTGCCTTGACATCATAAGTGAAACATGACTCCTGGTCTTGACCGAGTCTCCGTCTGACTTCTGTGACGCGAAATGCGTTGCAAGGCAGTCGCAGTCTGCGGTTCGCAAAACGAGGAGTGCCGATGTCAAGAAGGTTATACAGTTTTGACGCCAACTCCACGTCCACAATATTTCCCAATGTGGACACACACGTCTGCATTTCGTCTTCGGATAGAGATGGTAGCGTGCACGGTGGAGGTTTGTACGAGGTAATGTCAGCTGGGAGACAGCTATTGAACTCGGATGATTTTCCGACCCAATCCAGCGCGGTAATATCACCCGAATGAGCTATAATTTCTTGCGAGAGTCGTCCGAGTGCGTTTTGTTTATTCTCGCCGTACAATACAAGGAGGTGGACGTCGAAGATGCCAAACAATGAATATGCAATGTCTTCTTGCAATGTAGTGACACGTTTTGACGCCCATTGTAGTTTCTCTCGGGCATCTCTCATCCCCAGACGGAAAGCGACGAGGGACTGTGCATCTATACCTGTCGAATCCTGTAACTTTTGCACGATAGCGGCAGACTCCTTGTGGTTGGAAGAGCGGTCGTTGAGATATACAGTCCAATCCTGTTGATAGAAGAGAATGACTTTAGGAGCGAGTGATTCCGGGACAGTCCAAATTCGAGTGTTCCATGCGCTCTTCGCCGGTGCGCCAGACTTTGACGAAGGCGGTACATCTGATAGGTAGACGATGGTGAGTGCTGAGTGGTGATACCAGATGAACATAGAGTTGAATGATTTTTGGATCTCAACATTGTTGTTCTGGTCGATGCAACAGGTATCGCTCCACGCCCAGCGATAGCCCGCATCGCGAGCAGTTTTACAGAACATCTGCAAATTCACCGTGGTTCCGACAGGATCCAGATCATACACGACCTAGTCCTGGATGTTACGCAGCAGCAGCTCAATGGGTTGCCACCTGTGCGATAGCATAGCCCAACTGAAGTACTTCGCAACCGCTGCTCTAATAGGCTCTATCTGGAGGGGTGCATGCGTCATCGAGGAAGAAAAATCTCTTTGTATTCTGTGTTGTCCATGAAGGCGTTGATCTGCGCGTCTCGATTGCATATACGCCCAGTGGAGGTGTTGATTAGACGTAAGAAAGCATAATGCCCCAATGTAAAACAAAAAACCTTGTCATGCTGTTGCCATGATCCAGTGCAAGTAGTTCCTACTGTCCAGGATTTTTAAAAAATAGGGGACATCGACCTGGCCAGGAAATGCCAGTGCCCACTGATATCCCGATCGCAAACTTCGAGCTGAATATTAATGCACCTGAATGAGTCTCCGTGGTTCCACTCGCTTATGTAAGCTCCGCCTGGACATTGATGCGGCTTGCTTTCCAACGCCGATATCATGGCGATCTCCGTATTGCGTTCAGACTGTTTCCTCTCGCAGTTTCAGCTCGCCTTTGTCCGCCCTTTCCGTAGTCTCGATCTCAAACCCTCATAAACATGTCCTGGCAAGGTAAGCCTGGGCGCATCGTCAGGCAAGTTCTTGGTCTCATTCATCCACAGCATACGTAGACAACAATCTCGTTGGCACCAAGAAGGTGACTCACGCCGCGATCTTGGGAAAAGCTGGAGGTGTATGGGCTAAATCTGCAGGGTTCACGGTAGGTTATTGACTGCAGTCCATCGGTGCGGTTCTGACAGCTTTTTGCATAGATCTCAACGGAGGAGCAGAAGGCAATCATCGCTGCGTTCACGAACAAAGAGAAAGTTCAGGCCTCTGGCTTCCGCGTCGCTGATCAGAAATACTTCTTCGTATCGTCGGATACCTACGCAGATGATCCGAACCTTATTGTCGTACAGGGCAAGAAAGGGGTAGGTCTCATGACGTCTTTTTACGATGCATGCTCAAAGTCATCAGGGCGATGGTGCTGTGCTAGCGCAAACGAAACAAGCTGTCCTTGTTGCTACATACGTTCTGCCTCAGACAGCTCAAGAGGCAGGCATGACAGTCACCGGCGTTGGATCATACCTCGCTGGTCAAGGTTACTAGCCTCCGTTGGGAGATGATCGCAGGGGAGAAAGAAGATCCAAGGTGTGCTATTATGTAATCGTACAGCTCATAGATCCAATGCAATTTACTGGATCCATTTCAAAGTCATTCATTCACATTGCGTGATCGTCACGTATGTCTGTCTGTCAGGTTTGATCATCATCGCGGTTGAGCAATGCCTATTCATGGCCATTTATGAGTTTGCGATATTTATAAGGCTGGATGTCGTGCTCGGAATGTTTTGCAGCTGACATCAACTTCCAGCGTCGCAGATCCCGCTTGCAAGTGCTGCATCAAAGTCATCGACCTAGTCTCCGGGACCAGTTACTCCTCAGCTGATCGAACAAGGCCATCGATACTAGTGCCTCAATCTGTACACGGTACCTATCCACACAGATCTGCCTCTTGAGTGACTCAGATCACACCCCACTGGTTGCCCATCCCTCGTCGTCTTCTCTCGATAATGCCGCCATATCTTCCAGTGGTTCCAAATGAGGAGACTTCTACACGACATCTAATACCACTGGAACGTTGGCAAGAACATGTACTCTCATGACAGTTCGCAGACGAACAAATTCGAGTCCAATCACAATGGAATACAGGACATACAATCACATGGAGAGTTGGGTGGAGATCTCACTAGATCACGACTTCCTTAGCCAACAAGCCCTGAAGAACAGGTTCGGCTTGATACATCTTCAGGGCATCTGATCGCCATGTCTCCCTCTCCCAACCTTCATCCCCTAGCAGGTGATAAAGTCCCTTCATGTGCGGCTTACATGCTTCGGGTCGATCGCCGTTGCCGAGGATGAACGAAATTCGGTGACAGACATGTCCACCAAGGACGCATAGCGCCATATCTGACCGCCCAAGCGACTCGAATATCTTTGCAAGTTCCTCTTCGTCACAGCTGGTTATCGCCTTCATCAAATGCGAGTGGCAATAACATCAAAGGTGCAGCAAACGCGAATGATTTCTCGACAACTTTTGACCACTCCCAATCGATGATGCCAACGAATCAAGGTGATCGTCGACGAGTATGTGGTCACCCTTGTCATCCTCGTGGTGGAGATAAAACATCTCACTGTTCATCGACTCGGCCGGGAGGATTCGGGGATAGATATCCAACAGAGAGCGATATCTACTATTGTAAGAACGGGGCGTTTGATCCCACGGAACCAATCGAGAGCGATATATGAGGTAAGGTAATACAGATTCATCGATCCCCCACTGATAAAATCCGATGAGGCGAAGGAAACAATTAATTGTGTGATTCAGGTGTTGACGCAGGCTGGTGAACAGGTCGAGTTTCTGGGGATGGCTCGAGGGTGATGAAGATGTTGGCTAGCTGGTGGAGTACACGGCGACGCGGAACCTAAATCGTTCCACTGGAGCGGTGAAGCTTGCAGTTCATCCATAAGAATATAATTGACTTCGGCATCATTCGTATCCGCTGATAGCTGGAACTCCAATGCGATTGAGATACCTCAACGTGGCAAATTTACTGAGCAGAATATGGTTTTGCATAGTTTGGGGAGGTGTGCTAGTGGTTGTTCGTTAGATGCGAGCGAGCCACACGACATCATCGTCAAATACAATATCGAGATGAACGTTCGTTCTCTCCATCATCTTCGAAAGCTTAGGGCGGTTGGCTGTGGATGCGGCGAGAGTTGGAATGGTGCATGGAATATCATTACGGAGAGATGATGCAACGTTCCTCAGCCGAATGGGATTGATACGTTCTCGAAGCGCCGTCAGTTCAGTAGTTTCCGTCTTGACCAAGGCTTTTCAAATTCATTAGTTAAGGAGGGAAACCTAAAGGAATGACTTGGACAGACATCTTCGCTCTTTGGACAATCATGAAAGGGAGGGCTTTGGTGTTTTGCACAAAAGCGACGGTGACAGCAACCCTCAGAGATGTAGCTTCTGACGGGCGCATTATAGCATCACAGGTGAATATCTTGGAGAACCTACTCTCGATATGATATACTCGGAAGGATGGGAGTTTCGATGAGTGAGATTGAAAATTGCCGCCTCGATTTCAGCTATATGTAAGAATGAAAACACCAGATCTAACTCCGCGCCTCTAGCGAGCATGGGTCAAGGGAGGGTCCATGTTCCCAGCCGTACTCACCAAAGGCTTGCGAACGAGATCAACGGGAATTATGCAGGACACCTAGACGTGAGCGGCGCACAACTGGATTATGACCAATGCAATTGTTCGAGCTGCAGTTCTTGTAAGGAGGTTCTTCAAAATGGCAGGGATATCGCTGGGCGCTTCAGGACTCCGTATTGGTAAATTGATTAGCTACAGTTTCTCCTTATTTGCAGGCTTATACTCGAATTTTTTTCCTTCTTCGAGCTCTAAGAGCTGAAATTCGGGAATCCCATTGAACCAGCCCCCTAGCTCAGATCCAACGCCTTTGTGTGTTAGAGCCGCACTTTCTGGGTCAATAACTCGCGGTCTCTGTCCACGAGCAGCGGCTGCCTGGTCTGCTATCAGTTGAACCTGGCAGCATTTCTCCAAAGATATGAAAAAGTGGACGGTAGATTCGATCGAGGCGGCGGCAACAAGTAGCCCATGGTTCTACCAGAAGAGCACGATAAGCGTGTAAGAACGTTCAACCGACTCTGAAAAATACCTGGAGGATAGCAGCCTGGAATATTGTGAGCATCGACATATGTAATCAGTGCACTTGCAAACCTTCTTTGAACCCAGAGCAGCAGCTATAGCCACACCTTCCTCACGGTCATCGACGATGCCATGAAATTCGTTGAATAATACATGATCCTAAATATTCATTTTGATTGAGAGATCCCTTTAAGAACAATGGACGCGAAATACCTCGTAAAAAGCACAGCTGTCTTGAGTAATGGGATCAAGCAGCACCCCAAGGGTGCCGAACGCCTTGCCATACGTAGTGTGCGAATGTGCAGCACAGATGACATCTGGGCGAGCTTCATGGATCGCTGAATGGATCAAGTATGCCGACCTGTTGAGGAACCGAATGGGTCCAGATTCTTTATCCTGTATTTTACCTTCGTGATCTACGAGAAGGAGGAGGTCAGGCTGAATGAGCTTGAAGTGAACACCCTGGAGTAAACGGTGAATATTATGATTTTTATCTTAACATGATAAGGTGATCACCCATGGGTTGACCCAGTAGCAATCTGGCCTGATCGGGTCCTTTCGATAAAGCAATTAGATGTCGCGCACACCATGTTATCAGTGACATCTCACCCGGACAGTAATGTGTCCAGCAATACCTGCGTCATAGCCATAATTCGCTGCGATTCATGATGACGACACTTTCTATTACGATAGAGCAATACGCTTACCAAAGATACGGTATGCTTGAGCCAGGCGAAATTTGAGAAACGCTCGATGTTCGAGTACATCAGAGAACGTCCGGGGAACTGGTACGTCCTTCGAACGATCCGTCAATGATGTTCTCGTAGGACTGTTGCTGGCGTCCCCCGATTGTGTGGTCATAGTAAGTACTTAATGTTAGAAGCTAAGACACGAAACACGCTAGAGAAAACATAGTAAGAGACGGCGGGACGACAAGAGACTAGAAACCATACCTCAGTGTTTGGAGACAACAACTGGGGTATGAGGAAACGAGACGGTACGTATTATATATGTGAATGCACGTGGTAAGATAAGAAAGGGAAAAGTGTTATGCGATGACGACGATGACGATGATTCAACACTTAACACTGCGAATCGAATGTGGGAAGAACTTCTGTGAGAACATCGCAGATGCCAGAAGCGCATCACTGGCAGGGCAAACTCAACTCCCTGGCGGCAACTTTCACCACCGAAGGTCCACGATTCTTCTTCTCTGCATTATGTACTGGGCTATAGTGTTCATTTGAGAACTGTCTGGCATTGAATTTCGACTTGCGAAACTTTGGCGCGTGGAATATGTAAAATCAATGACCGCTGGCTCAACATAATATGACGTTGAAAGTAAATCCATATAAACACATGTATGGTTGGTCCGCATTATTTATCATCTCCTACATGAACGAGAAAAACGAGACTATCGAAGTCACCCTCAAATACGGCGGCATCAAAGGCGGGCGTCTGTTATCTGGGATGACCAATAAAACCAACGCGTATCACATCCTTCTAGAAGATCTGACTATTCTCAAAGCACATCGTCCCAAAGGCGAAAACGTCCGTCAAGAAGGTGCTACGTTCTTCCTGTCATGGCATCGCCCCTCGTCTCTGGTCAAGGTAGATCTCGAGCATTTTCTTGCACTGCGAACTACAGTTGATCTACTGTCAGGATACAAGTTTATACCAACGATGGGTGGCCATTGATAAAGGGAGTCCAAGACTAGACCAGGTCAAGAAAAAGCTCTCTATGTAAGCGCCTCTGCAGAAATACGTGTACTCGAATAAAATTTAGGCCGTTTGTCAAGCCAATCGGTGACTGTGAGCATGTGAGGGCGCCCTCATACAAAATAACGTGTATTGAAAGTCTATCTTAGACTACCGTCCATTGATTTTACCCGAACGCACGGAACCAGTCTGTCGCCATTGGGACCAAAACATACAATAGAACTGCCGCGCACAGAAGGAATGGGCTCGCTCGCAGAACACTTCTCATCATCCCCCATGACAGAGCGTCCTTATTCACCGGAGCTGTTCACCACAGAAGTATCTCAAGGGAAGAGATCTCGAAGCGATGTATGTACTGCGATCGTTCTCGGTCACTCCTATAAACTAATGTTTCGAAGTCCATCAATGAGCCTCTATCACTATCTTTTGGGTCAGATGGTAATAACAAGCCTTACTCCACTTCTTCGTCGAAGAGAATTCGAATCGAGCAGCACTTCCCCGTTCAGGACAGTACAGTGGAAGAGGAACATGCTGGAGACGATGCAACGTCACGATTAGGCAACGAGTCTTCTCAGTCCAGAACCCCGATATCATTGGTGCCGCTCTCAACAACCATACCTCAACAACCATCACACATCCCTCCGTCTCCACTTGGCACCTACCACAAGCCCTTTCCAGGATCGCCTGGGATCAGCAATAGCCACGCCCCTACTGGTCCCCGCCCACCAGGAGATCGAGCGGTAATTAAGAGGCTATCACTTGAGCTGTCGAAGGTCCGTGGTCAACTGGCCACCTTGAAACATTGTGAGAAAGGGATATTGGAAGAGCTTGCTCGTCTTGGTGTCTCTCAGCCAAAAAGCGGAGAAACAGCGACCCCCCTGAATGGTCTCGTGCATCAGTCCTTCGCTATGCACATAGCTAACTCTTCTGATTTCCTATAGATTTGGAAGCGCGACTGATGCTTGTCGAAGCCGAATTGCAGCAGGAAAGGATGCAACGCCTCCGTGCTGAACATATGCTGAGTAATGTGGAGAGGGAGTGCAGGGTTCCGTTTGTTGTCCCAGCGCTCTTCCAGGCCTTCCGCAGGATATCGGAGCTTGAGCGCAATGTATAATCTAAGGCAGGTGGGCTTTGAACAGTCAAAGACAACCAGCTAACCTTTGGCCAAGATGTGCCGAGTGCTTTCTTGCATATGTGCCTCTCCAATGTTGTCTCCTAATCGCCCGAGTTCAGGCTCCGTTCTCTTCATCTAGCCCTCAAAACGATTTCCACTTCATTTTCAAACCAACATGTCTCGAGGGTGGTATAGTACATGAGGCGCCCAGCACAAGCGCTCACATTACAAATTAATTAGGTACATTATCGGTTGAATACATGTATGCTCACAGCTGAGGGTGGCTGAATGCTCCTTTCAGCCATGTTTAAGAGTCTGGACCGGATGCAAGGGCCGCAAGTGTGAGGAACTCGTGTCGGGTGCCCTCAACTACAAATCTTTTTGGAGGAGCTTGATACGCTATGGGCTAACCGACCCAGTGAGTGCAATATCAGACATGTAATGAAGGGCAGGTTCTTATATTCAGCATGGGACTCGACCGGGGGCGTTAAAGTGCATACATACTCTGATGATTGATCCATGTATGGCGCTCACCTGACTATCGATATGATGCTTGTTACGAGTTACGGCCGGTCTCGGTGCCCTCGGCAAATTAAAGCGGAGTGACAAAGCTCTCACCTGCTCATCAACCGATGTCAACCTCATCTACCTCCGCTATCACTTTCCTCATCCCTTTCATCCCTTTCACCCCGCCTGTGCGCTCGTTCATCTTTCTCGCTCGTAACCTACGCGCCGACGATGTTCACCTACTTTCTCGCCTCTATCATGGATCTCTCGACATCGACATTGTCACGGGCTGACATAGCCTTTTTGTCCAGCCTATCTCTCCGCACGTCCGCAACTGGCTGTTCCAGCTGCGGCAGTACTGTCGGTCTGACGATCTGTCAGAGTGACAGGAACGTGGATGCAGGCAAGCTGATGGCAGGGGTATGACATTGTGTTGTCATACTCCATGGCCTTTTGGCGCTTGTCCCCGCTTCAACAAGCTCGCAGACGCCTCCGAGTTCACAGCCGCAAGTATTCCATGATCTATCCGACCTACTACCACACAGTGCACACCATTCTCGTATCCTGTCGCGCCTCGTCATTGCAAGCAGCAATATGTACCTTTCACGAAATTCAAATGTATTATCGCTCTTGTCTGAATACATCTTTTTTTCTACTTCTATTCTACTTGTGAAACACGCCCGCGATGTAGTGAAATAGGACGCGCGCAACTCTGCGTGACTTCGTACAAATTTACAACTGAGGCGCATGTCAGCTGCATGCTGGGGACTCCACGCTCCGCAAACCGTGCCGGGCATGCACTAAGACTTTGACATAGACGTAGGCCTAGGGTATGCGCAGACTTGCGCCAAGACCGGCCATTCAGACTCGTCCTCAACGAAATGATCGTGAAAGGGTGAGCATCAAGTCCGGACGAAGTGGAGCCCGCCGTAGTGGGGAGTTCGGGTGCAGGTTCTCGTCGTGTCTATGCCACCTTGCATCCATCTTTAGTATAACTGCGGACGGTTGCATGTGTTGGAGGGGAAGATGGAGCAAAGAGGTCTGGAGTGGGTGCCGGGTCCTGGCGCGGTGGCAGGAGTCCTGGTCGTATGGTAGTCCTCTGCATGAGGTACACCTACCGCACAACAAATACGACAATGCAACGGCGGTGAGAAACATAAGGGCGAGAAACGCGAAAACATACGCACACGGCAAGGGTACCCAGACGGCAAGAGAATCCCAAGATAACAGAAGAGGTATACAATCTATGAAACATCACCTGAGACAGATGATTTGAAACTCTGCTTACGACTGCAATAGAAGAATCAAGAGCAACAACGACATTCACTGTGAGTCGCTTGCGATGCGCATTTGGGTTGAATGCGGTTGCTGATGACAGTTCTGGGTGTCAATTAAGCACCACGTCGAGAGAAGCATTGACAGAGAGGGGAAAACCGTCCACATGAAATCTGGTGCTAGTAGCGTAGACGATATTGATGTGGCTAGGGTGGTACGGATAGTTATCGTGCGGAGAAGCAAGTAAATCAGTACACACCACGCATGCCCGTCAACAAATCTGTAACATTCCATCGATAACCGGAAGTGATCGGACATGAGCGCCGAGAGATTGTTCTATATAGGTTCTGTGGCAAAGTAGGGTGAGTTATAAAGGATGATGAAAGATGATCGAGGGGAAGAAATATACGGTTGCAGAAGGGTAGACTGTGGTATATGGTAGTACTGAATGCATGCGGGTTCGTATACAGAATGGAGGGGCCACTGATACATGACGGGCGTTTATAAAGGGGGCAGTGATGATGGAAGAAGCCAAATGAAATCCACGCCGTGGCAGCGTGATTCGGAAGAACCCTGAATAAGCGCCTACATGAGTTGGGTCATGGGCAGAAGTCCAACACTACTCACCACCACCAGACCCCCAACGTAAGGATATCCTCAAGGCACGGCCCTCTTCAAATTTAAATGCTGCTGACCGTCTATATCTCTGTCTAGGTCAACGCGAGATGTCAGGGGTGCCTGATGCAGCAAGAGATGCGGATCTCACTCTGAGACGGCAGCCGGAGCCAGCGCAGACAACGGAAGGGCAACTGACACCAACGCGGATGATGAAAGGGCATACGCAGAACGTGAAAACAGTCGCGTTCTTCAAAGATGGTCGACGGGTCGTCACTGGTTCATATGATAAAACCCTGCGCATCTGGGACTTGGAGACAGGAGCATTGGTAGGAGGGCCATTCAAGGGACACAAGGGCAAGGTGAATTCTGTGGCCGTATCACCAGACGACAGGCGAATTGCGAGTGGTGGAGATGATGGAACCATCATCATCTGGGACGTCGAGAGCAAGCAGAAAGTATTCGAACCGCTGGTGAAGCATACAGGCATGGTGTTTTCGGTGTGCTTCTCACCTGATGGCAAGAAACTTGCAAGCGGGTCGGGTGATTCCAGAGTTGTTGTATGGAATGCAGAGACCGGCGCTGTCCTCGCAACACTCAAGGGTCATCGTTTTTCGGTATTCAGTGTGGCATTCAGCCCAGATGGGCTAAAATTAGCCTGTGGATCATACCGAAACATCCGAGTTTGGCGCACCGATAACGCCGAGCTTCTTCTCAATTTCAACGCTCACAAAGATTGGGTTTATAGTGTTGTGTGGTCGCCTGACGGCCAGCAACTTGTCTCTGCATCATCTGACAGCAAAGTCGAGTTCTGGAATTCGTCCAATGGACACCAGATCGGTCAACCTTGCACCGGTCACACTGACTCCATCTTCTCGCTCGCCATCTCGTCTGCCGGCTCCTTCATTGCCACTGCCTCAGACGATAGGACTGTGCGGCTGTGGAGCACAAAGACACACCAACACATAGGTCAGCCATTCAAACACACCTCGGGCATTTCGTCTGTCACGATTTCTCCCAATGGAGAACTGCTCGTCAGTGGAGATTTCAACGGAAATGTGCTGCTCTGGTCTATCAAGCAGATACTTGAGCAACACAAGGCGGGAGAAAGGACAAAGGTCGATGAAGGAGCACGTCAACAGCAACTCCTTAGTCTCAGTGACACGCAGGTATGCTATCACCCATTATTTTTAGTCTGTCTTCATTCATATTGCTTTCGGCGGCGGCACACAGTCGCGCTGTCATGACACCGACGACGAGCTCTCTGGCAATAACGATGGTGCAAGTCACCATTCTTCGCAACAAGCGTCTGGCAGTGACGACAACCCTTCATTATTTGACTGTGAGCTTCTTCCTTCGATTGCTACCTGCTCATACACAACATGAACTTTCTTCATGCAGATCCTTGCTATAAACAAGACCGTCCGCAATTCATGCGTCACTGGGGATCTGCATATTGCTGAAGACATGTTGACGCAAGAGATCCATGCAGATGGTAACAACCACCACTCGTATGCCAATCGCTCTGTTGTAAGGGCGCGGAACTCCGAGTGGGACAAGGCCCTTCAAGACTCAGTCAAGGTCAGATGCTCTGCGTATCATGACGCTGTTGGTGCTGACTCTGATTCTTGACGCAGTCCATTGCTATCCAGCCCTCGTTATTGGGCTACATTTCCAAGGCCATCGCACTCTGCGCCAACGAGCAGCTCTGGGACGCGACAGAAGCATTCGATCTCGCGTTCGTATTTTCGAATCGTGATCCAATGCACCGTCGGTCTGTTACTATTGATCAAGGTACTCTTGTCGCTATCTCAGAGTCTGTCTGTCGCTACTAATACTTCGATGTCATCTTGTCCAGGCTGTTGTACTTTTCAATGCCGGTCGCCACGATGAGGCAATGCGGCGAGTTCAAGACCTCGCTGCCGCTTGTCATCACTTGGATACACTTCCGTGCAGTATTATCAATGTGAGCTTTACGTCATACCTCACGAGTTGTCTCACTTTCGAACACACTCCTCAGTCATATCTACGCATGCAGCTTGCAATAATCGCTTTCGATGACGGGCAGGTACAGCGAAGCCGCCGATCGACTGAACGATATCATGCCTAGTATAACCGACGTGTCCTCTCGCCGAATGCCCTTTGAACCTACATTGAAGGTATTCACAGTGGTACGTCACTGTGAAGCCCACAGGACACTTTTAATGATTTGCGCTGTACAGCTCTTCGGCTGGGACTTGGATTCATTATGGCAAAGTGCCAACCAAAGGCGGTGCGATGCACTCCTTCGCGCCGATCGAGTGATCGAAGCGGTCGAATCTCACCAATACACTATGCGCATGACTGACGAGGATACGAAGGACAGCTACCTCGCATGGTTCACTGGTGGGTGCTTTGGGCCTTGAACGAACATCAACATTTACTCCGAGGACGTTTAGCTTTCAAGAAAACGTGTACTGCGCGCTGTCTCGCAAAGGGAGATGAAGCCGTTACTGCAAGCAATAACGAGGCGGCTATTGAGTTATATTCAGCGGGAATTGCGGTTGACTCCTCATGCGGGTCCCTGTTTGCGCACCGCAGCAAGGCAAACTTAGAACGGGACCTCTATGTAGAAGCCCTTTTCGACGCGGAAAAGGTGCAGATAATGTCTTTCATTTGTCTAGCTATTGTTCTCATACTGTGCATAGGTCATCGAACTCGATCCTTCTTCTTATCTGGGGTATGAACTGAAGCATGCAGCCCTTCACAAGGCTCGACGTTATGACGAAGCGATCGAGGCCTTGAAAATGATGCTCTTGCAGTCAGATGATGTGCTTGGCGCACAGGCACGAGGTAAGCCCCAATCTCTCATGCGCCAACGTGAAAATCATGAACACTTTTTACAGAGCTGCGTCAGCAGTATGTCAGTCCATCTGATGTTGAAGGCATTATCCGACGCGCCATTGACGTTCAACTGGAAAATGCTCCGCTGCGTCTAATCAACACCTCCACTGGGCGTATATGCGATCGAGAGGCCCAGATAAACGCCTTCCTGGACAGCACAGAATACAAAGAGATTTTTTCTTCGTCGGTTATGCACATGCCTGTCCAAATGGAGCCCATCCAAAAAGCGGTTGCAAAGTATTTCAGTCGCGCCATGTTATCGCATAGATGGGGCAGCAAGGAGCCGCTGCTACATGACATTCAGGCCAAAACCGTGTATGACTTGGATCCAGTCGGAACCGTTGTGAAGTTGCAGAAGTTCTGCGAGATCGCTCGTGATGCGGGGCATCGATGGGCATGGAGCGACACATGCTGCATCAACCAGGACAACAATGTGGAGCTCCAACGATCGGTGAACTCGATGTTTATTTGGTATCGTCAGTCGGATCTTACGATCGTCTACCTTTCGGATGTTCCGCCCTCAGCGCAGTCAGGCGCACTCGCAAAGAGCGCTTGGAATACGCGAGGGTGGACTGTTCAGGAGTTCCTCGCTCCAACTGTCATTCTCTTCTATCAACAGGACTGGACCTTGTATCTCAACGACTGCTCTCCCAACCACAAAGATTCGGCCACTATCATGAAGGAGCTGGAGGATTCAACAGGCATAGATGCAGAGGCACTCGTCGCGTTCCGTCCAGGCATGACAGGCGCACGCGAGAAACTGCGATGGGCGTCGACGCGCGCCACGACGTTGCAGGAAGACATCGCATATTCATTGTTTGGCATTTTCGGCGTCCACCTACCGGTCATCTATGGCGAGACGAGGCAGAATGCGCTCGGGCGACTCTTGCAAGCGATCATCGCTCAGTCGGGCGACATCACTGCCCTAGACTGGGTCGGAAAATCATCCGAATTCAATAGCTGTCTGCCAGCCGAGATTTCCTCATACAAAGCTCTGCCATGCACGTCAGCATCTTTGTCTGAACATCACATTCAGACATCGGTCTCGTCGCTGCGAAATCCCGCTGTCGTAGACCAGGCTTTGACACTGTATACCCGGCTTGCCAATCTGAACCCTCCTCGTTTTGCGGACCGCAGGCTGCAATTGCCTTGCATTGCATTCCCCATCACAGAACTCAAACGGAAGCGTGGTCAGGACTGGCAGAAGTGTTTCACTTATGCTGTCAAGGCACACGGGCTTAACGACCTATCAATCACCACAGAATATGATCTAATTCAGCTCTCGCGGGCAAGTTCTAGTCGGCAGCCATTCTTGTTCGTCCGTCCGTGGAATCGATATGACATCGAGCAGCCTGGCTCCGCTGACAAGACGCAGAGCATGGAAAACTGGCAGGAGCCTGAGTCTCCGTCAGATGATCAGTTCATCTGGTCTCCTGGAGACAATGAGCCAGCTGATTCGGAGTCTCACTCACGAGAGTTGAGGTTGATCGTTCGTCTGGGACAGCCTTTCAGTGCACTGTTGCTAGCGCAGCAGCGTGGCGGGGAGTACAAGAGGATTGCTTCGGATAACAATATCATCGCGCACGTCAAGGACATGGCTTCTGTTCGTGACATGATGGAAGTCAAGACGCTAGAGATATTGTAGTTGCATGGATTTCGAAGAACGAAGAATTCTGCTCTGATGCATTGTCATTCATACTTTGACAGTACAAATCCCTTTTGTATTGTATTGTAGGCCAACTATTATCCAACTGAAAAACAGCTGTGGTGGAGCTGAGGTGTTGTTTGCACCGCCCCAGTCACTTGTCATATAACAGTTACGACGCATCCTTGTTGACTTTTTCATACATATGCTCGATCGATTTGTACGCTTCGAACGGTCTGTATCTATCCCTCTATCCCCCTTCCACTACGCATACATGTGTTTGTAGGCCGAAGCTCGTAGGGCAAAAATTACCTGCACTGAAGTCTGACGCAGTTCATGATCTGTATTAGGGTCAATTGGATTTCAAATGTAGATTGTTGTCAATACTTACAACGCCGACATGAGTATCCCACTGTTCCCGCTGACTTTCTCTCACAATTCTTCTCCTTCTTGACCAGGTTGTAAAGCTCCTAAAATACATATCATTGTGTGAAGACTCTAAGAAGCTGTGTGACATTGCACACCTTCATGAAACGGCGGCGTCTTGGACCACGTTCACTGCAAGGTTCCACCGCGCTCTCAAAAATCCCTGTTTGGCCGATGTAGTTTGCTTCGCTTTGGATCCTCTTCCAGACAAAATTAAAGGCGACCTTCGACGCGTATCTGCTCGGAATCATCAACGACGCTGCACGCATACTGCAGGAATTGGTCCGGCTCACTCTTTGGTTTGAAACACACCCATCCCATGCATGTATGCAATCGACTCGTTAAAAATTAAAGTATACGCCTACTGCTGCTGCGAGAAAAAAGAGGGAAGAGGGAAAAACCAACAGTGAGCCTCATAAGGTGATGATCCTTGGAACTCGTGAGTGGGGAACCCTTGGTGCACTTTGAAGAGGTGAACTAAGGGAGGGACCTCTAAGAAGAGGATGTCTTACAGATCACTTGTTTCCAACATATTAGTAGATAGAGCTGCCGCCTCCCGCCTCAGAGGTTTGGCCTGGGTTTCCCCTAGCGGTCCCTGCCCGGTCCACCGCGAAGGATCGAGAACAAAGCTCTAGCGTTTAAATTCAACAGGACGGGGAGAACATGGAAGGTCTCAGCCAGTCCTCGGAAATGTTGGATCCTGGCCTGCCGTCTTTATTCCTCAAAACCCTGATTCGGAGGAACCGTGAAGTTGCCCTTGATCACGTGGTCGTGTATTTGCGACACTTGCATCCAGATGACCGCTTTGCGCTGAGTGCAACTGGGCCTGGAAGCTTGAAGCTGGACAGGCGCACAGCAGCATCGGGTCTTCGTTTATACAATATGACAAAGCAGAACTTGCTTGGAACATGTGGCTGCGGCGGAAAAGATCAATTGTATTCGAGGTCCAAATGAGAGTGCAGGGCTGCGTTTGTCGTTCTACCTCTTTTCCGTGTTTCATGAAACCCCACGATGCATGGAATATACTCAGTCGAGTCAGTACTGCACACGTACTTGAGTCACAGTAAATACGTTCTGAAGTGGCGGACTCGTATTGTTGGGAGGTACACGTGATCTCTGGAGTTGTACTCGCACAAATCTCACAGAACTTCACTACCGTAATTCAAGAATATCACGAACTACGCTAGGATCTTCCGATATAATATAGGATGGAAGTAACAGGTACGGACAGACGCTGGTAACTTTCTTTTCAATTTTAAAAGGCGACTTGGCAGATTCTCCTGCTCCTGTGTTGGGCATGTCATCCACACCAATACCCACTTCAATGGCTCCTACTACATTCGAGATCCCAACAGAAATAACCCCGACTCCTTCCACATCTACTTCTCCATCCATTCTTCAGAAATGCACCCGTTGTGCCTACATGGGTCCTATCGACTCCTACCCACCTCGGCGTACTGGTACAGGTCACCTCAAAGTATGCACGAGCTGCATGGACAAACAAGCTGCACGGAAGTCCGCCGCCACTGTAGAGTCGTCAGGATGTGGGCAGATTGCTACTGCAGCAATGAGCCTGGACGACTTCTTGAAACTCGTCACATTGAATAAAGGCCGACCATTCGACTTTGATACAATGGTGAATCTACCGCCGGGAATGTTTGCAGCTGGGGAACATTTGTATAATCGGACAAATAAGATTAGAGATTTTCTGGCAGAAGCCTCAGAGTATCACTGGAAGTGCGTTGTCTATATCATGCACCCGGGCAGTCCTTACAAAGGATCTTTCATGTAGTCAAAAGAAAACCAAGCGCGGTGGAAAGTCAACAGTGGTCACCTACTTCTGCGCCCAGCTTGAAGGGGAACAATCAAAGTCGCGAAACCAAGACGCCGATCGCGCCAAGTCACGTTCTCGCATCACTCGTTATCATTGTGGAGGCTGGTTGCGTATAACAACGATGGACGATAACGAACTTCTTCTTCGCATTCGCATGACACACGCTGAAGCACACCCAAGCTTCCCTTCATCGTTTCGAAAGTCGCAGTCGGGAGAATTCAAAATGGAGACCACACCAAAGCCAGTTCCGAAACAACCTTTGTTCACGACAGCACCGATGACAGTGCCTGTTGGAGCTACTGAAGTGCTCCCAATAATGCCAAGGGACGAGGTAGGCTCAGAAGAAGATGGCATGGGGCCTATGCTAGAGCAGCAACAGGGGAACGGGGGACCACCTCCAACTATCGTACGTTAAGAAAGCTTTCGGCGGCATTCTCTATTGATTCAGTTCTGCTACAGCCTGAAGTCTATTTCTCGCCAGATCAGCTTACTGGACTGAGACGGAAATTTGATGCTATGATGAGCATAGCATCTGGCCCTTGTCATCCTGACCTAGCTCACGCTCTAGGGTCCGTATTCGACCACTTAGGATCGTACCGTGGGTGACATAGAGGTTGGGAGGTTTGCGAAGAGGCAGAGGATTTCATAGGCTTTGCCTCGCTTGGGCAGTCACCAGACAATCCCATGCGAGACCCGCTCTGGGCCAATGGCCCATATGGGTCTCCGAATCTGTCCTTCGAGGCAGAGCTGAGGGTTCTTGCCGACCCATGACGCAGTGAATGGTACGACTTCACCTAATGTCAGATTAATTTGAACAACCATGGACTGCAAATTTGGGGGCAATATGAATCTAGGAGGCGTTTTATTTCCCATACACCATGCGCGGCTGCAATCCTGATGTCCCGTGCATCATGGAAGTCGGTCAAGCAGAAATCGTACCAGACAAAGAACGGCTACTGATCAAAGGGTTTGCCACAATCTACCAGCCAGCCTATCAAACACCGCAATGGTATGTCGGGACTCGCATGAGTTTTTCCACGGACTTCACAGCGCGCAGCCTGATCCTTGCATCCGAGGTAGGGAATAGTGAGTGTGCCTGCGAGCCAGGTTTTGATGTCGTGAAAGGGGCTAATTTGCTGACGTTGATTTGCCGAGCTAAAATCTGACAGCTGGTAGTCCCGGATATGCAGAAGGAGCAAATGGAGTGTGGATACTCCACGGCGTTGTTCAGACCTCAGCTTCTTCAAGACTGAGAAATAACACATGAAGCGCAGTAAACATACTCATACTACACCCTGGATTCACCAAGTAGCATTTACTTTATACATAATTGTGCAATGTATGTCCATCTATAGATTCACATCCCGGATTGCGTCCTGCCATTCATCAAGGTGCTTCAGCATCGTCGCACATTTGTTTCTGACATCTGTCTCTGCATCCTCTCCCAAGACGAGATATAACGGCCACTCCCTCCCTGCTGCAACGCCCTCTCCTCTTACAACGTCTACAACAACTTTCATCGCCTTCATTGGGTCTCCTGGTTGATTGCCAGCCATACCCTCATACCTCACCAGTGACTGAGCTCGTTGATCATCATAATCGGGTATAGGATTCGTCCACGTATCAAATTTATTGCTGTATATGTTTTCGGTGCGGAAGGCACCAGGCTCGACGATTAGGACACGTATGTTGAATGGTGCAACTTCCAGTGCAAGCGTTTCGCCCATTGCTGCAGTATTTTCCAGTTAACGAACAACGGAGAGTGTATCAATTGCAACACGATTTACCGTGCACGGCTGCCTTTGATGAGGAATACGCGCCTGCCAGCCATAACCATATAACCGACAGAACAGCTGAAATACAAGGCGTAACTCACCAAGTCCCTAAAACAAATGTTATCCAACCACCTATCAACCATTGATAACGCTACTCACCCTGACTTCAGGTCTCCAGGCACTGCGGCTTCCGATAATAACAACTGTACCGCTGCTCCCTGTAGAGCTCAAAGCGTGTGTTGTACATAAACACCTCCTGAGACTTACTTTCACGCATGTAAGGCAATGCTGCATTTGTGACGTCCAGGACACCGAAGACATTCGTGCGGTATTGTCTTATCATCAAGTCAACCCTGAAAACGGCGAATGATAAGATGCATTAGGCACAGGAAAAACATGTTTATCTCCTACCCGCATTCCTCGAGGATTCCAGGCAGCCCGACACCCGCATTATTCACCAACACGTCAATCCTGCCCCATACCTTGGCCGCCTCATCCACCCGGTCCCTGACGGCACTCGATCCGGAAGTTACGTCAAGCTCTAGGAGGTGTAGGTTCGGAGATTGGGGGAAATCTTGGATTTTCTGGAGAGACCGGGCCGTAGCGACTACACGATCGCCGCGTTCTAGAACGGCTGATACCAAACGGCGACCAAAGCCTGATGATGTACCTAAAGGATCGACGTAAGTTACTGCTATCTCTGGATATGATACGCACTATAGACAAATACACTCACCTGTGATTAGCCATACTTTAGGGTCGGACATGAGGACAGTTAGTGCGAGATCTTATTCTTCTGCGTCCGAATCGTTGGCTATTACTTAGTACCAAGGGATTGCAGAATCGCAAGTAGAGAGACGTGAATCGTGAATTGCTTTGAATGATAACGGTGATTAACGGCAAGGATCACAAAAATAGCGTATCGCAACTGGCAGCTATTGTTGGCTCCCAATGGCCAAAACACAGCGAGTCTTAGACTCTTATACTGTGGTTAATTTTGAGTCGAATATGATACGAAGAAAGGTAGATAACACATCAGACAAGGCTACTTTCCACCCTTCTTGGCAGCTTTGCGTTCCTTCCTCTTTCTACCAATAACGGTGCCGATGTGCTGACCAGCCTTGGCCTGTTCTTCCTTCACTGGCTTTGCTGGTGTTTGATCATTTGCAACGCGTCGTTTCTTCGAAGGTGGATTCTTGAGATGCTTCACCTTGACTTTTTGCGACTCGTGTCTAAATCTGAGTTAGAAATGGTGATCATAGACGGAAATCATACATACTTGTATTGTCGGTTTTTCTTGGTGCTGGATCGCTCTTCGCTGGACGACCTGCACGTTTTCTATGGAGAATTCTACGATAAGCGTAGCCTTCGGTGTTTTCACCTGGCCTTCCAGCTCGTCTTTTATCCGCTTCAGCCTAGCCTCATCAGGATTCTCCCTTCCCTTCTCAAGCTTGATGAGGTCGGCAAGCTCTTCTTTCCACCAGGTGCTCAGAAGTGGCACAATGGCAGGATTATTATTGGCCCACCGAAGCACGCGTAGCGCATCCGCATGCCGCGGCATCTCGACGAATCCGTAACCTTTGCTACGACCTTTTCCAGTGACAGGATCTACCCGATCATGTTGACGCACGATTTTGGCTTGCTTGACGCCTTTGGACTTGCTTTCCTGCGATCGTTTCCCGACCTTCGGTTTCGTTGTGGAGTCGCCTGTGTCATCGGATTCTTTGGTATCTTCTGTCAGCTCTTCTGGTGTCAAATTGTCGCGTTCTTTCTTCCGAACGCTATCTTTGAATGCACGAATAGCGTGGAGGGCGAGGCGTTTGAGAGTTCGCTCGGACACGAATAGTGGAATCTGGCGAACGCTGAGTCGAGTCTTCGATACGTATAAGGAAGGATTCGTGCGCAGCATCGTGCGACGAGCATTGAACGAATTAGTCCGCTTCTCCAGTTCAACAGGCGGTATGGTGCTGGCCGCTGGTGTATTGGGCAAGATGACTGGCAAATTTTGAGTTACAAACATAACAGTGATGGCAACGAAACCAATCTTACCTCCCTCGCGCAACAAGTAAAGATTTCTCTTGTCTGCCTTTTCTCGTCTCTTCTCGCCTTCCTCCTTCAGTTTGCCTGCTTGATCCCGCGAGACAGCTCTCACAACGTCTAAAGTGCGACCATGAAGAACAAGGCTTCTGGCTACACCTGAAGATGGATCAGGTGTTAGAATTGATGGCAGGGTAAATGGGTTTTTCGGTGGCTGTGTGACGTGTCAGGGACATATCGATGATTAGATAGGGGAACATACTTGTTGCTGCGTGCCCATGGTTTCAGCGCGCAAAATCTCGCTTTGTTCGATCACCTTGTCGGCAACTTCTTTCTTCCAGAAGCAGACGAAACCGGTGCCCCGAGAACGTTCGGTTTCTGGGTCGATGGTGATTCGTGCATACCGTAGAGCTCCGAACGTGCGGAATCTACGCATGCAGAATGAGCACACGCGGGTAGGGGGGAGAAGTACACGTACAGCGACCGTAGTTCGTCTTCTGTAGCAACAAAAGGGATATTGCGAATAAAGAGTGTAGTTCCTGCGTCTGTTTGAGGTAGCTGAGGTTTCGTGGGACGTTGATGATCGTTATCACGTTCGGTATTTATGTCGTCTGTCTCGTCATCGTCGTTATCTTCATCCTCGTCGCCGTGATCGTCTTCATGAAGTCCCAATTGCTCCTCGGCGTCCTCAGCACTACTCAACTCAGCTTCACTATCTTCGACATCGACCATCTTGGAATCGCCCTCTTCGATGTCATCCATCTTGGCATCACTCTCATTGACCTCCTCAACCTTCGCCGTTTCCTCCTGCTTTTCCTCCCGCTTTCCCTTCCATTTTTCTTCTCGCTTTTCTTCTCGATTTCCCTCTCGCTTTCCCTCTCGCTTTCCCTCTCGTTTTTCCTCCCGCTTCTTCTCCTTGCCAACGCGCTCCTTTTCCTTGCCAAAGTCATCCTTGTCCTACATCACACCCATAAGAAATCTATCCACAGAATAACAATAAAAACCCACGATCTTTTTATCCGCCCACTTAACCCTCAACTTCCTCCCATTTATCGAGATTCCCTCAGGTCGACACGGTATCGAACGCAGTCTGCGCATCCTCTTTGATGGAAAAAGACACATAACCAAAACCTTTGGATTCCCCGGATCCGTTCTTCGATACAACAAAGGCGTAGCGCACGGGTGCGAGGTCAGAGAATGTTGTTTGTAGGTCGGTGGATGTTACATCATAGGGGAGGTTGGATACGAATAATGTGGACCTGAGGGAGTGCAATTTTTTCTGTCGAGTTGTTTTGCTGTTTGAAGTGGGGAATTGACTTACCCGTGTGATGAGGTATGCTCGGGTTCTTCTCTTTTCTTGCGTTTCCCGAGTGATGTCGCCATCTAGGAGCACCTGGTAAGATCCTTACTTACAATTTTGAAGGCGTTGTTTGTATTTGTTAGGATAAGAAGCTTTTGCCAATCAGGGCCAAACGAAGCTAGGTCGACTTCAAACTTCCGAATCACAACTTTGAATTCGCATTACAAAGGGAGATGGGGGAGGTTGATTGATGTATTCTTCGTCCCAGGACTGATGGCTTCATTAATCATGACCTCTCCCTCTATCATCTTATCGGAATAGGACACCCAAACCACATCGCCTACTACCGTTCTGCCGAATTCTCAGTTCGCAGTATCACTCGATGTGCACGCTACGAGCAACTGTTTCGACTTTTCTCATACTCTAATTGCGCCCAAACACTGACATGAAACGATCGCCGCGTTGCCTTGCTACTATCCAGTTATCGGAACAGTCGCCCGAACGAGATCGCCCACTGTTCGAACTTTTATCAAATTCGCATTGTGCAAGCAACTGTTTGCACATCATCTCGCCACACCCAAGGCTCAAGCACGGTTTTATTCTGATTCTGATGCTGATGGAACCATCACCAAGCTCTAGAACTCGATCATGGATTCTAAAATCACGATCACGGCGAACTCCGACGCTAGGGGCTACGGCTACAGCCATCCACCCTTTACTCAGATAGTAACACTCGTCGATCCAGATGCTCACATACGATCGGAAAACCCATCTGCATCGCGAAGAGAGCTCTGATCCAAATTCCTATCACTATTATTAGAAGAGGGCGATCAGCATAGCCAAATGTATGCGTCCCCGACTTTCCCACCAGATCGCAAAGGCAGAAAGATATCCACTCGGCAGGCCCGGGCACCCTAGTACTAACTAGTGTCGCAAGCGTTTCCTATCTTGTCTCATGAGATGACGGATGGATGACCGCTTCATCATTGGTAAGCTCACATCCACCCCCCGAAATGACGGTAGCCGATTCAGAGATGGGGGCCTTCGTGAGTAGAGTCGTTCGCCTACCTTTCTAAGCGAGCTGACTACATAGTACACGCGTGCGCGTTAAACGTTTTGTTCCGTTTGTTTCGGTGCGTGTTTGCAATGTGTTAGCATGTGACGGATGCACATGCACATGGGTACCGTTGCCCTAGAGTATCAGGTTGATTTTGGAAATTTGAATTCTAGCGTGAGATATTTTGTCTGGGTTCGGCGAACTCCGGCAGATTTCTAACACCTGCAGGTTTTCTTCTTGTCGCTTGCACCCCTCAAGGCCTCATCCCTCAGGCTCTTTCCAATGTTGTCCTCATTGCTTGTCTCCGGTTGTATTTGTCTCACAGCTGCCCCGAGGTAAGTCTTTCCCTCCAACTCCCACCTTCTCGACAACTCGACTTCTTCCCAAGCCTGTACGCCTTCAGTAGGCGAGCGGGCTTGGTAGGCCACACACGCCACGACACGCCTTTAGTAGTGATCTACTCCTGCACAAGCTGCAGTGATTAATATTGTAGCCCAGGGATATCTTACTCGAGTTCTAGGTCCTTGCAGAATTGATTGCAATCATGGAGGGTTCGAAACAGCTGGATTTGGTCTGTGCCCTTATCCCAAGAACCTGAGTCCCGGCTGTCGCTAGTAGGCAATAGTCAGATACAGAGCGCTAAAAGCTGCTGCCGCAAAAGAAACATGTGTGAGCCTGAGGATCAAATCATGTGACGCTATGGTCTGGAGCTATGATACCTGCGACGTCAATACAATATCAATACCGTTCAGCTATTCATAATCGAAAACACAAGACACATACCTTGGATGTTAGATATCAAGGTCTCAGCAGCAGAATCCACAAGAACATGATGAGAGTAGGCATCTACAACACATCCAATCATGTATGTCCTCGTTGTTTCCTGGTTGGCAGTTGCTCGTTACCGGAAATTTTCACCTCACGATACAAAGCATCCATAAGAAGGAGTGGTGTTGCAAGGAAGACATCACATAATAAACTTCGATTGTCGTCTGTTCCGTCAATTGGCACAGGTGGAAACAAATCCGTGGGCTTCCCTATGAATGCTCCCTCGGCGTCGTTTCGCTGCGCCGCAACTTCGTTGAGACACTACTCTAGTGCCACGTGTAGCCAGCGGGTGTAAGGGGGAGTTTGGAACGACTTATCTTCAATGCAAATTACAAACGCACCCACCAGATGGAATGCCACGTATTGAGGCGTCAACGTACGACTTGAAATTCGAGGGAGCAGCGCGTGGCAAACCACGTGGACCTGTGCTGGTTGTCTTCCTATCTGACGCCCAAGCCCCTCCGACGATAGTGGTTGGGATAACTCCACTCGACCTGTAACGCGTTCAAGAGTTGTTTTAATGTCATAATCTACGCCACTTGCGCACCAGCAAGGCTATAACTGGAACCATCCAGCTTGGGATACTCCCGAGTCCGAAAAGCTGCCCGTCGAATTTGAAGTTAGGATAACGGCCTACCTGCACCAAAACCTTGGTGTGGGTTTCTGGATGACTGTCAAAGGCTCGGGGTCCGGATTCGATAGCGTTGTTAAACACCTTACAAATGTGTGCGAAACTAATCATTTGCTCCGCGCACCTGTAACACAAAAGGAAATCAATACATCATCGCGAGTCCCTCGACGCTGGGGACAACATCCAGCGACTGTCAGATAGACTGCTAGGATAAGTAGACCATTCAGCCCTCGGAAATCACACATACCTCGTCAAACAGGTGTAGTGCTTGGATGTACCCTAACGCTATAGAGGAATCTAGACCACGAGTCACAGCATCCATAGAAGACGGATGAATCAATTGCCACCTGGTACGCCTCATATGGCGGTGCTGCCCATCGAGTTGACTGCCAACTTTGGTGCCAGATTCACGAGAAATACTAATGCTGGCAAAGCATCAGATGGTAAGAAGGTCCTAGAGGTGTCCGAGGACATTACGACTTACACTGTTCGGGAAGAGAGATCCGAAGCGGAGGTCCATATCTCTGCAGTCATTGTATGATATTATACACGCACGGTGAGTCAAAAGGGAGCACCTCAACTTGATATTCAAAATGAAACACATGAATCAGATTAGATATGACAAGACACAGTCCTGGTCAGTCCGCGAACTGGGTCCGAAATCTGGCTCCCCAAAGATGTAAAGTTAAAAGGATGCACTCTCTGCGACATCCGATTCCATTCTGCAGTTCAACACCCCAAGTAGCACACTCTTACCAATCTAGCTACTATGAAGCTCGCTTTGTCTTTTGCTCTTTTTGCCATCGCTTTGGTACAGATGACAGCAGCAGCGCCCGCGCCCGTCGAAGGCGACAGCGGCGTAGAACAGAACCTCAAAGGTATGTTTCGACGTATCTTGTAGTATTCACACCTTCTGATTAGATATGTATCTAGCTCGTATAGGCCTAAGCTGTATGTTGAATTCTAACGTGTCCGCAGTCGTATCTGCCAGCGAGTGACACTTATTAATTAGATCACCTTGCCTGGGACTACGCTGGTGACGACGGTAATTCTCCAGTGCTGACTTTGCTGCCGAGCGTTAAATTCACTTGATTCACAACGCAGTCGACGTCGAGGAGCGCGCGGAGCAGAACCTCAAAGGTATGTTTCAACGTGTCTTGTAGTATTCGCACCCTCTAACTAGATATGCATCCAGCTCGTATTCTGAGTGACACCGTCTAATTAGACTACTTTGCTGGGGACTCCTGATGTCGAAGGTGATTCTCTAGTGCTGACCTTGTTTCGAACATTCTATTTACCCTGTTCAATTACAGATATAAATGTCGACTCAGGTAAGTCTTTAGTTTCAGCTCATTTTAAATAACCATCGCAGCTAACATGACTATCCATAGCGCAAAT